GGGGGGGGGGGGGGGGGGGGGTTGGGAGCAGGATGTTCGGATGGGCAGTGTTCAAGGTAGCCGTGATGCAAGATAAGGATTTGGATCCTTCTTCCCATAGGAGTGAACTTGTCATTCCAGATACTGCTATGTGCCACATGACTCCACTGATGAAAATTTCCAGCCGTTTCTAGCAACCAATAAAGTTAGTTTTACCAAAAATGGTGATCGCTAATCACTTACTCGACCTTTTCTTATTTAATTCTTATACTTTCAATTCATATACTTCAGATGAGCAAAATTTCACTAAGAAATACCAAAGATGATGAAATGTTCTTCAAAAAATTGGCTTTTTTTTCTTCTTTTTTCGCTTTCATCAGTTTAATCGTTGCTACGATTATTGTTCCCACTCCTTACATTTATTTGCAACGAATCCATTCATCGCTTGAAACTGAATTTGATTTTTGCCTCCATCGAATTGAATATTTATGGAAAGAACTTGATGAGGTTTTTTTCTAAAATCCTTCATTTGTAATATAGTCGCTGTGATTAAATTCGAAATATCAATTTTTACAGATTTATGTGGGTGAATATTTCACTGAAATGAAATGCGAATGCTGGCATAAACTCATTTTCTTTGGGAAAAATTTTATAAAAAGCTTTTCTCAAAAATTCAAAAAATTCAAACGGGAATTTGCGTTTATCTTTAATTCATTTTAATTATGGAAATTTTAACTTAAGAATCTTTTTCGAAAAAATCTTTCAGATCACCGTTGATCCGAACAGTGAGATCCGAAATGCCCGAAATAAGAGGCATTCCTCGCAAAATCGACGATCTCCATCATCTAGTCTTAAAAAAAATCACATTCGTACCTATGGCGCAAGTGGATCACGGCCATTTTCGATTTTATCGCGTCAAGGTTCCTTAAATCCTCGAAAGACACCTCGTGTTCGGCTTAAGAAATATCGAAATGATATAGTATATCATTACCCCATTTATAGCAAACGATATTCTTATCAACCGCTTTCTTATCAACAATCTCCTGTTCATATGCCATATGTTGGAACTTCAAGTAACGGAATTGTTTAAAGAACTATTTTTCAAAAAGTTAACCTAAATCAGGATAAGTTCAAAGCTAAAACTAAAGAAAAGATGAAACGAAAGATAAGAAATTATAAGAAAGAAATTAAATTGATAAAATTCATTCATCGTTATTCTTCTAGTGAAATTTTAAATTGCAAAGGAAAATTGTAGGAAAATTGTTTTGAATTTCCTTAGGCGAGTAATAAAAAATGCAATTTTGTTAATTCAAAAATTATTATTTAATTTATTATTATTATTTAATTATCGTTAATTTAGTTATCGTTAAATACCATTCAATTTAATTAATGAGGTGGTTTTTTAAAAACTTTTTTCAGCACCTGACTATTTTGCTATAAAATCAGAATCTTTTTGTTGTAACTGTGGCATTGGCCCTCCAGGGCCACCTGGCGATCCGGGAATAGATGGGATTCCTGGTACGCGTTTATTTAAAAAATGATTCTGGTATGCGTCTATTTAAAAAATAAAACCTTTTTGATGCTTTTAAAATTCTTTTTGTCGAGAATTTAGCAAATTAGGATTTCAGGATTTGATGGAATTCCTGGAAAGGATGGTACACCAGGTTTTGAAGAATCGTTTAATAAACGGTTCTATCACATATGCCCACCAGCGCCGCAAGGTCCACCAGGAAAAATGGGGCCCAAAGGCTTACCTGGGCGCATTGGGAAGCACGGAATTTCATGGTTTCCTAAACCAGGTCCTCCAGGTCCTGCTGGCATACCTGGGCCATCTGGTCCCCCTGGTGCACCGGGTAGGAAAGGAGAACGTGGTTTGCCAGGAAAATTGATTCATGGTAGTTTTTTTTAGTCATTTTCATTTTCCTTTTATTTATATATCATATTTCCAGATGATGCTCGTGCTATTCACCTATTTCCATCGCCATATTTGCCTCCCTGACATATTTGTCTAGTGCAAAAAGCCAGTGACGCGAGTTTAACCGTTAATGGTGGAACTCTCTTAAAAAAATCCTATTTACGTAAATCCAATGTCATTAACGTTATTTCACTATTTCAGGAGAAGTTATCGTCGGAGCACCAGGATTACAAGGGCCTCCTGGCACGATAGGTCCAAAAGGACCACCTGGCCTTTCTGGACGTTTGAAATCCGGTCTGCCTGGTCCACCTGGGGACTCTGGTTCAGCTGGTCAGAGAGGGTTGCCTGGAGTATTGGGCTTACCTGGTGTAGTTGGTGAGAAAGGGCGTAAGGGAAGTTGCGACCATTGTCCGGTGCCAAGAGTTCCACCTGGTTATCCCCTTTAAAAAGCATAATTCAAATTGGCTTTGTCTATATACTACATCTCGTATAGATTCATCTAGTGCAAATTCGAAAGCTTATCGATGAAAGAAACCGGAATATTATTTGCTGAAATATTATTTTGCATCGTCCATCATATTTTGCCGATTACGCAGTGTTATATTAAAGAATCTCAAATAATATTCCAAGCATGAATAAGAATGCCCCGTCATCTTGCAAAACTTGTTTTTTCATAATCTTGTATTATTTACAATATTTGCATCTTTCATCAAGCATATTTCTTTCATGAAATTTCAAAAAATCCAATAAACTTTTGAAAAATTCAAAGCACTCAATATTTTATGTTAAGATCATCAGACAAAGATATTTTAGTGAATTCTCTCTCACAATTAATTATAATTATAAATCTTGTAAATAAAGTAAGCCATTTCTGGTTCTTTATTTACTGTGAGCATAATGGAAATTTCGCAATTTTATCATTTGCTGATAAAAATACAGGTGAATCCAGTAATTTTTAGGACGAAGCATCTTTGCCAGATAGGATTTTCGACAGAAGTATAGGCCAATACCAGACCTAGATTTCGCTTTTGGTAAGTTCACCACCAAGGGTTTCGTGTCGAGCCCATTATGGCTTGACCTTAGCCAATGCAACAACATACCATTCAGCTAAAAGTTTTCACTGATTTTCATAACATTCTTGTCAATGCAACTTTTCATCATTAGTTAGTTTTGTTATTCCAAGATAGAGGTAGGTTTCAGCTTCCACCTTTAAAGGCAAGTTTGTTGCCACCAAGAGATGCGAATCAAGTGCCTCGCTTTTCGTCAAGCAATTTGACAATTTTATCCCCCTTTTTGTTATATTTGTAAATTATTTTATTATTTGTAAATGAAAGGAAATAAACAAATGAATAAAAATTATTTTAATTCATATTAAACAAGAATAAAGAAAGTTAAACATATAACAAACAAACCAATAATTTTATTGTGCAATGGTGAAAAAACGAAGGTAATTAAGGTAAGCTTAAACGAGGTAATGAAATTGGAAATTTTCCTTTAGAAATTCGTATATTTTTAAAATGTGAAACGATTTAATCGTCGAAATTATCTTCGGCATTCATACGACAAAAGTTGGCATCCATATTCAACATAACATTCAATATAAAAACCTTTTTTAAATATATATTTAAATTTAGCAATAGCCTATTATTTTTTCTTTCCTTATTCCTTGAAGAACCAAGTTTATAACTGAGAATTGGCATAATTCGATTGAGTTTCCAAAATTTGCCGATTAATGCAATTCAATTTCAATTCTTAAATGTGATTGTATAAATTGAAATCATTTTGATCATTTTAATCATTTTATAATTCAATCTTTTGGAACAATTATGGAGATAGTCCAGAGAAATAAAAACACTTATTTTATTCTGTTGTTTATATCAAAATAGCAAAAAGAAAAGCACGCCGAGATTTCACCCAGGTTTAAAATATTTCTAGCGGAAACGCAAAAAGAGCAGGTTTAACTGAAGTGCTGAAAATTCGATTGTAAAATAACCCGCCTTCTAGGTAAAATCTTTATAAGCAAATTTATGAGCTGCATACCGGTCATTTTGCCACGAAATCACTCAGCTAACTTCTAGATTTTCTATCAGCTTAGAACTAATTTCTGGTATTAATTTTTAATTATTACCTCAATTTTTCATTCCCCTCATTCTTTTTCATTCTTCTTGATTTGTTGCCTTAAAGGAACTTTCATGGATGTAATCCATCGAATATATTATAAACTAAATGAATGAACTAAATTTCTCTATTTGGATCAATCTTATCTATGTGCTTTCATTCTACAGCATCTCATTTTAGAGATTCTAAAATTCTGATTTATGAAACCAAAGTGCCTTTGCCGTCCTATCTGGATTTCATATTCGATGAGAGGATAGACAAATCAAAAGACAGAAATTGGACCTATGATGGCTTAATAATCATAGCAAAAGATTAATAGTAATGCAGAAAATATTTAAAAATTCATCGAAATCGGGTTTCAGGTAGGAAACATGGAAAGTGATCCAAAGATAAAATTATATGAGGCAGAAAATTTAAAGAAAAATGTATTCTTTGGTATTACTATATCGACAGTAGCCACCTTAACCGCGATCATTGCTGTTCCTATGCTGTATACTTATGTACAATATATACAGTCAAGCCTTGTCACTGAAATAGACTTCTGCCACCATCGAACAGACGGCCTTTGGGAACAGTATGCTAAGGTTTATTCATGAACTTTATTTTATCATATAAAATTTCGAAATTATTTGCGAAATCTCAAAAAAAACCTTGACAATCAGAAAAATTCACCAATAAAAAAAAATTTTCTAGTATTCGCAGTTAAAAATTTATAGCTGAAATTTATACAATTCTTCGCAATCTTTTAAAGCAGAGAACTGACAAAGTTGAAAGCCATGATAAATAATTTAAAATAATGATGTAATCAGATTGAAACAATCCGGGGAAATCATGGGCGCCTGAAGCGTGCAACTCATCATCGAGCATCAGGCGTAACTTCACAGAGAGCTCATGGTGGCCGCAATTTCTACCAACAATCAATTGGAGTTGATGACTGGAGTGGAGGGATCGGGGACGGAAGTTGTTGCAGCTGTGGAGTTGGCAACGCAGGTCCAGCTGGCTTGCCTGGGCTTGATGGTGAAGATGGTAAGAATATTTTGAGCAAACCTTCAAATTTTCAAAAACCTTCCCTTTAACATTCCTTAAGAATGATAAAGTAAAGATTCCTCATTTTTTTAAAAAACCATGCACAAAACTGATTTTATCTCTCTTTTAATTTTTATTCAGTTTTCGGTTTTTTTAAGCCTAATTTAAGTCCCATTTCTAAATGCTTCAGTATATACTATGCTGACTTCGCTTACAATTTTTTCCAAATAGCCATTCCTTTAAATAATTTTTGCATAATTTATGCCATTCATTACATTAAATTAAACTGAAAATCAAATTCCCAGCATATTAGAAAATCATCTATGTATTTCAGGAAGGGATGGTGCACCTGGGCCGGATGGGCCACCGGGTGCAGACTCTTTATCAAATCGTTTTCCAAGTGCGACTGATTTCTGCTTCGACTGCCCACCTGGCCCACCTGGATCGCCTGGTCGACCTGGGCCAAAGGGCCAACCAGGATTTCCAGGCCAAAATGCTGATGGGTCGGCTGTAGGCCCACCAGGTCCACCTGGTCCGCCAGGTCCACCTGGGCCACCAGGATATACTGGGCCTGCTGGTCGTAAAGGACCACCAGGAGCACCAGGACAGATAAACGAAGCTTCCGGCAGCCAAGGCCCACCTGGACCTGTAGGGCCTCCTGGACTTCCAGGTAATGATGGAGCAGCTGGTCGACCAGGCATTTCACTACCAGGACCACCAGGACCGCCAGGCGATAGAGGAAGAGATGGCAGGCCGGGTAATGCAGGAGTGCCAGGAAGTCCCGGCATGTCAGGTGAACAAGGATCACATGGTAGATGCGATCACTGTCCGATACCACGTACTGCTCCTGGATATTAGATCAATCGCTCAGCGATTCAATTTTTATTGATAATAGCGTTTCTACTGCAACAAAAAATTTTAAATTTGTAACTTAAGACGAGACTTTTGATTTAATTTTAATAGAAAAGCTTATTTACTTATAACTAATGATTTGATAATCAAAAAGGATGAGGGCAAGAACGATCAAATCCATTCCATAATTGTAATAGGCTGGCACTTATTAGCAGCCTAGCCTAGCTTAATCAGCATTTTTAATATTCTTTTTAATAGCTTTTTGAAGTCCATGTTATCCATTCAGATCTTCTTTTTTGTCAATATTCTATAAAAATCTGTGAATTAATTAATGAAAAATTGTTTTATCTGATCAAATTCTTTTTTTTTAAAATTTCTTCGTGATTTATGCCATTCAATGCTTCAAATTTGAATAAAAATTTTATCCTCTCAAATTTATACATATATATAATTAATATTCAAACGAAATACATATGGTGAGTTTCAATAGCCTGGGGCAGTTCGAGGCCTGGGACAATGATCGCATGAACCATGATTACCGCCATCCCCAGCAGAACCTTGAAGCCCAGCAATACCATCCTGCCCTGGGACTCCTGGTACGCCTTGGTTGCCCTGTGGGCCAGATGGCCCGATTCTCCCGGGTCTGCCGTCAATGCCGTTATGTCCATCCAAACCAGGCAAGCCAGGGAGGCCAGGTGGTCCCTGTGGTCCCGCTGGCCCAAAAATCGTAGTTAGTTTTCCCTCGAGGCCTTTTGGTCCTGTTTGACCAGGTGGTCCAATCAGTCCAGAAGTCCCCTGTAAACCAGCAGAGCCTTGAGGACCAGTTGACCCAGGTTGTCCATCTCGGCCTTTCAAACCAACTGTACCGAGATGTCCTTTTACTCCTTGGTTACCTGGCATACCAGGTGGCCCAGTTGGACAATCAAAACAAAAATCTTGAAGCCTCGAAAGAGTAACTTCAGCTGCATCTTCACCAGGTTTCCCATCAATACCAGGCGGTCCGGTAGACCCTGGAAAAGGATTTCAGTAATTTGAAACTTATGGATTATTGAAAACGTTTCCTAATAGTGTTTACAAAACTATGAAAAATGACTGATTAATCTGAAAAATAATTATACAAAATATACAAAACAAATAATAATAAGGATGACACAAATTTCGTTATTTTGTCGAAAAAAACAAAAATCTGCAAAAGATTTAATTAGCAAAAGAATACCGTCGGTTCCATCAATGCCTGGTTGCCCAGGAGGTCCAGCTAAACCAGTTCTGCAACTGCAACATGGCGCTTCCTCATGGTCAATATCATTTTCTTCATGTTTCCCAGTGTCTGCATATTCATATTCCCCTTCTTCATCAATATATTCCGCAGTTCTTTTGCCTTTCACTAACCGTTTTTCCCCAACATTGTTAAATTCATTCCTTGCACTTCGCTTTACTTGGTTCGCAAAAGAGTTCACTTCTTTAGCCTAAAAATCTCAATTAATTAATTGACAGAATTTTTTAAGAAATTAAGTTTACATCACCTTAAAGTAAACGATTCAGGAAATAACGCTGTTCGCCGATTTTCGCTTTCAAATGTAAAATAACAATAGGACTTACTCTCTCGATTTGTTCCATCAGTCCAAATATTCTGTGTTGGCAGAAATCGATTTCAATGTCGAGCGACGACTGAATGTGATACATATAATTGTAAAGCATAGGTATAAAAATTATTGCAGCTAAAGTGGCAAAAGTTGAAACAGCAATCGCGAAAAATGCAGTTCGACGCATAGCGATTGCATTATATTCCGCGTATTTCGAATCCCTATCGATATGCATAATTACTGAAATTCTTAGTATTTTACCTTTATTTAAGGAACAGAAAAAGATAGCAGATTATCTGAAACATATCACTTTTAATAATGCTCGTTGTATCTGCTATAGGTACGAAGAGATGGAGACAGCAAGGAGCGTATCGTTGCTTAGCAAGGATGGGCCTATCATTAAAATTGCCGAATGGTGCTGGGGACTCACTTGTGTCTCTATATAGTGATTCCCTAATAAGATTGCCCCATGTCATTGACCCACTGGGAGTGTCGGTACTTAGTGGCAAAATAATTGCCATCGAGAATCGAGGCTTGGATTTCGCCGATGTACCACTCTTTGAGCTTCAGTTTCGCTTAATGGAGAAAGTAAAGGAGAGTAGAATGGCTCAGTGGTGTGTTGCCTAATTCGAGACGCCAATGCAAGAATCCTATTCCTGGCAAGAGAAACCTGTCCAAAGTCGGGGCGAAGCTAGCAACTCACCTGTACTTCTATCGTCAATGGACTCCCTGGCATATTTGTCTACTGCGAGAAGCCAGAGGAACAAGTCAAAATCTGCAATAAGGCTCAGTTCGGCCATTCAAAAATGATCAGTGCAGTTGTGAATATCTCAGAATAATATTGAGGAATTACCTGAATTGATAGCAGTGTTACTTTGAATAAGGTCTGAAGAAATCTACAGGAACCCTATTCTCGGTCGTATAAATAAAAGCAATTCTGAGAATGTATTAGGGATGAGTGCTTTATATACGGACCGTTTTTTTGGTGAATCTTAACGAATGATCTCTTTTCGATTATCGTTCCAACAAAACGTGTTGTTGTCACTTCAATAAAAAAAGCAAAAAAAGTTTGTCACCTCAAAATTTATTTTGCATTTCTTGACTTGTTTTTCTTGTTTTTACTGCATGGATTAGCAAGTTTTCATTGAATTCGAGAAATTTTATTTATACATAAAGTCTAAAAAAAAGAAAGAAATCCAGGAATTTATCAAAATTTTTCCATGGTATATTCTAATTCGAATTTTTTGATTGCAAATTGATAGAATGTTTGCATTCAAAAATTAAGAATGCATGCATCCAGGAGAATTTATTTGATTAGATTTTCCTTTAAGGACATTCTGTTTAATCGAATTTTCGAAAATGATGTGTAATTGAATAAATTTTTGGCAAAAATATTGTTGTAGTGGCTGCGCTTTTGATATTTCTTACGAATACGAAATCTTGTTTTTTGAAGAATGCAAATATCGCCTTCTTCATTTCTTTAAATATATTTTTTAGATTTTAAATATCTTTGTAAAAAAATTTTTTTACAAAATTTGATCATTTGAACAACTATAATAAAAATTTTATTTTCCGCAAGCAAGTATTCTAAATTTAGCAAATAAATTCGATATTCGATTAAATTCGCATGAAATTTTTAAGACTTTTCTAATGTGCCAATAAAATCTTTAAATTAACTGATCTTTAATGATTTTCCACATAAAATGTTTGTCTTCTAAACAGCATTCACAATTTCTGATTTTGCTAAGTTCATTGCTAAACTCTTAAAAAAGGAGAAATCACGGAAGCAGCAAGTTGAGAGCAGATTTCTTTGCTGAATTTTACTTTGAACGATAAATTCACTTTCATCAAAGAATAACTATAAATAATAATGAAGATCCGCAATATATTCGTCTGAAAATCTTTTGAAACTGCAAGAGAATGGTGCTTTTTTTGAGTTTTCTTTCTCACAAATTTATTTTTATTTTCATTGACTAAATTTTCTTGATGACATTTAGCGGCGTTTTCTTCTGTTAAAACTATAAGATGGATTCAGGACAATTAAACAACGAATCGCAGTTATTCACATGCACATGCACATGCACATCGACGACAGCTACCAGCGGAATTCGTATTTGCTAAAAGGATTTGCCAATAATTGCCAATTTTAAAGCCAAAAAATTGAATTTTGAATTGAATTAAATTTTTATATTTGTGTTTATTACTATTTTTATGTTATTTTTATTATATAATCTAAATTATTTTTTAGTATGAATTTTTCTCATGCGATATTTTAGTCGCTAAAACATTTTATAAATTACTAAATTCTAAAATAGAAATATCGCGAAATTTATTGTTCGGCAATTGTCATTTTTCATAAAATTATGAAAATTCGTTCGTTCATCTTCTTCGAGGAGATATGCATTCGAATAAAAATCTTAAATAATTTTTATCCATTATGTTTACCAAAAAAATTTTTCCCTTTATTCAAGCAATTATATTCGGAACAAATTTTCCACTTTTTTCACTCCAATTTTGTGATAATTTTGAATAAAATTATTCATTTTTAAGAATTCAGAAAAAAAATATTTTTCAAAAAATTTTATATTCAAGAACATGTTGCATTCGATAAATACATTTGCAATTTTCGAAATGAAACCTTTATGAATATTTCTTTCATAAATTTTCCTGTCAGCTTATGTTGCTTCATCCGCAATATTTTCACGATTGTTTTAGATAAGTGTGGATGAGGTGTGAAGCGAGGACGCCAAGGGACCTCGATTTTTCGATTTCCCTTCAAGGGACCATCCATAATAATAATAATGCTAAGAGGTAATTTGCTCTTTTCAAATATAAGCGGGCTTAACTAAGCCGAAGCCTCAGCAAATGATGTGAATTTAAGATTTGATTAAAAAGAAAAAATTTTAAATGATTTTGAAGATTTCTCAGTTTTGAGTTCTAATACGGTAGAAGATATCGAAAATTATAAACCGTATGGAGAAAAGCTCTCCTTTCGGAATCCTCGATAATTCGAAGTCTGAAGAAGTCTCCAGTTACTAGCTTAAACTATAAGCACAAGTACGTTGTTTGCACTAGTTGAAGCTGCAGCTTATTGATATATATTAAAACGATGAAAAAAAAAAATGTCCAACTCAATTTAAATATAAATTCCAATTTTAAATTCTAATAACATTTCAGTTGTATATTTAAAATATATACCAATTATTATAAATAAAAAAGTCGAATCAAACACCGCAATTCTGACTTGAATTCTTCATAAATCGCACCAATTTTGTAACCGACGACGTTAAGCAAATTTGCGGAATTCTGATTTAACTAAAAAGGTGTTCTGCATATTACGCAATCCTTTAAAATACCATTATTACCACCATCCCATTCTCCAGACTTAAGAAATTTTTTACAAACCTTCACTTAGTGACATTTCGTATCTCTGACTGTAGTAGACTTCGATACTTACATTCTTCTTTCCTACAACATCTGCTGTTTCTGGTTGAAACTAGCTTCTGCAGTGCATTCTGCAGTACATATAATGCATACTTTTTCGCCAGAAAGTCACTCAGAGAAAGAATTCCCACATTTAAATACACACAATTTGAATAAATTTAAACAATTGTACTTAGATATGCCTATAACTTGAATGGCTTTAAAAAACCAGTTTAACTGCTAAAGCGCATAAGTGTAAATTTGGAAAAAAAATGACAAAGAAATTTCTACCATTTGTAATTAAAATCATTAATAGTTATCGCGTTTGGATAACAAATTGAACGGGAAATCGCTATAAAAACAGCAGAAAAGAAGCTAAACTGGAAAATATAAGGTGAACCGAGAATTAACAAACAGGTTGAATTCAGCGCCATGTGAGAACAAAGAAGATTTAGATTAATTTATAAGTTAAAAAAAAACTGGCGTAAAAGCAATAAATAAAACATTCACCTATTACCCATAATTTCATGTTAAAAATATCAAAAAGTTCCATTGAATATCTCTGCGATTTGACTTATAAAGGAATTACTTCACTTTTATCACAACCATCGACCTAAAACTCGCATTAACAATATGCGACATCTTAAAGAAATACAAATGTAATTCTGCAAATAAAAATATTGAGAACCTCTTCATATTAAAACATTGTACAATAGACTGTAGCAAGCATTGATATATATTTACAGATTTGGTAATACTAATTTAGTAATAATGAAATCATCAATGATAACAAAAACGATCAAAACAAGGAAAAACTTTAAGACAAGAGATATGGCAAGCTGCTTAAATATGCAAAAAAAACTATATTCTGAAAAAATATTTATGAGCCAATAAAATGCAGCAGAATATGAAATTTTAAAAAGTTGCAGTTATCACGATATTTTAGAATGGTGAATAGTTTTTCTTAACTGACTAAACCGGAAATAATCAAAAATATCCAATGAACACAAAAAACTTCATTTCATCATTCAAGCTTCAAGTCTATTAAAATTACCACTTAAAACAAAAAGGAACCTTTTCTTGTTTTATTGCATTTTATAAGAAATTTTTGAAGATATAAAAAGAATTGATAACCTCAGTTTATAAAAAGATTTTGAAAAAAACCAGATGTTTTTTAGCAAATTCATCTTTTGTACTCTACGATAATGATCATACACAGAAGTTTTTGACAGTTTTTTTAAAATTTTAGTCGATTATGGCACTTTTATTTATTCTACATTAAACCTTCACATTAAGCATAAAGGAAATTTGAAGCAAAAACCTAAAAAATAAAATGGTCAAATAAAAGGATAATAATAATAATAATAATAACACAAATGCTTTCATGTTTTTAAGTAAATTATCAGTTTTAAATATAGTTATACTGGATTCCCTTGAGGATAGTTGCCAGCCGAAGGATTCCCCACATTTGGCTGTCCGCCTGGATTAAATATGGTTGTTTTGTCACCTTCGATAATTACTGAACGCAAATTTATAATTAGTCCATTCGGAGTCGCTCTGTACAATAATATAGCAATATATCCACAAGTCGCACCAACAAGAAGGCAAAAAAGCTAAAAATTCGAAGGAATATAATGTAGCAAAATTTCCATGCCATTTTTTATTTCCGCCAAATAAATGAAAAGAAAAATAAATAGATGGATCCATGCGAATGACAATAATGATTTATATTCAATTCATTCAATAACCAAACGAAAAAATACAAAAACTAACCGTAGCGAATAAATAAGCAAAAAACAAGCTTGCTGTGTAACCGATTGAAAGGAAAATACTCACGAAGCAGATTAATGCAGAAATGCCGAAAAGAATAAAGAATAGCGCAGAATATATAAAATCCTAAAACAATTTTCGATTTACCGATTTTTTAAACAAATTCAAGCAAAAAACTAAATTTTCTCTTTTGTATTACTCTTTTGTAATTGTCGTATTATTTTTTTGTATTATCGTAATTTACAAGCAAAAAATGCCATTAAAAAGACATAGGAACAAGAAAATTTACCAAAAATGCAAAAGGTATGAATGCTGCCATCTGGCCAACAGTAAATGTACGGCGCTGAAATGATAACAAATGTGCAATCCATGAAAGCAAACCGACAAGAAACATTGTACTGCCACAAAATAAAACAAATCCAGTACCACCAAATGCGAACGGCGATGAAAGTAGAGTTATCAGAAGTACTAATGATCCAAGCTGAAATATTTTCCAAGCTTTTTTCAATCAAAATTTTAAAATTTATCTAATAATGGAACAGATTATGATTAAATTAAAATGAACTTTAATAATTTAAGATAGATTAATAAAATAAAATAATTAAATGCACTAAAAATATTTAAAAGAATGAAGTGAAAAATGGAGTCACAAAAAAATTAAATTTTACCCATTGGACAGTTTTAAGTATTCCATAGGGCCATTTTTTCGGAAAATCTCGATCAATTTCAACCATTTTAAAAACAAGCTAAAAGAATTTCCATTAAAAAATTGCAAATCAATAAAAAGACATCTCATATATTGTGTGGAATAACACAAATGTTCCCTTGAAGAAAAAAATTTTTTCAGAAATGTAGAGAGAAAAAACTTGGATGAAAATTGGATGTCTAATCATTTTTCATTGGTTTGCGATCGTTAAGAAATAAAAATTTTCAGAAAAATATTTTAAATTTGCAAAATATAAAATATATATGCAAAATATGAAAAAAGAAATATGGAGAATTTAATTATGTTAAAAATAATTTTAAAAAATATAAATAATAGTAAATATAAGATAATAAATAATAGATAATAAATAATAGTAAAAATAATAAGAAAATAATAAAAAACAATAAGAAGCTAAAAATGCAATTATGAATTAAAATATAAATAACAAAGGTCGATGAAATAAATTTACGAAACGAAATACATAATAAAAAATAATTAATAAAGTAATAACTAATTAATAACTAGTAAAATAAACGGTAAAAAAACAAAAAAGAGAAAAGGATGAATCAAAAATATTTAATTAACTGAATAGAATATTAGTTGCAATTCGCATCAATAAATGCACGTCAACAGTTCTATTCATATCGAAAACTAATGACGCACGTGAAAATTCTGCGTGAACAACACTCGTTACGAATAAACATATTCAGCATTTTTCGTATCAGAAAATTTCAATAACTGCACTTTCAATCATTGTAAAAAATAATAAATAAAAAAACAAAAATTTATGAGAAAATTTAAAAAAAAAGAAAATAGTAAAAAAAAGTGGACTTAGGAAAAACGAATTATTAAATATAAAATTAGGAAAAAACAATTTAGAGAAATCAACAAAAAAAGCTGGTTTTAGAGGAATTCCTTTTGCAAAGACAAACAATGATTTTTAAAAAATTCGATTCGATTTTAATTTCGAGAAAATTTAAAAATTTCGAGAAAAAACCATAAACAAAATAGTTTAAAAATCGATAAGAAAATCTTAGTTAATTAAATAAAAACAAAAAATGCATAAAAAACTAAAAAACAAAGTAAATAATAAATAAAAGCAAAATTAATTCATAAATAAGGAAGAAAAAAAAAGGAAAACCACCCGCAAGTTTTTCTTTAAAATTTATAATAATTTTAAAATAAAAATACGCAAGCAGCCATGACTGTGGAAGAGTTTCGCGGCCACAGCCCTCACTTCGATAGTGCGGCCCATGCGATTTCGCTACTTCATTTTTCGAAAATTTTGAATTACAAATATTTTTTAAAGTGCGCATTCAATAAATCGAATATACGATAAGCTCATTCTTATTCTAAAAATACTGTGGAACAGTAGCAACAACTCGGTTAGACGGACACCTGCGGGGTATTCTATGTTTATTGTCTATGCGCTTTTTGTCTCTTCCTTCGCTATCACTAATCTCTTCACTTGCATCGCCCTACTATTATCAATAAATGAGGCTGATCGTTGTCCAAATAACCAAAATGCGTTGCTTTTATAACCCAAACGGGCTGCTGCTATCGATGGAAGAAAAATGTAAATTCAGAAAGCTGAATGAATCGTGAAAAAATAGTCATATATGCCAAAAATTTCTGATTTCACTATTTATTTTTATCAAACGCAAGTGAATAAACTTTAAATACAAAGAAAAATAATGAGAAATGATCAAATGGTGAAAATTCTCTATTAAGAACAAAAAGAAAAAACTTTTTTTTTGATTTTTCAATTGATAAATCTGAAAAAAAAGAAAAGAAACGAAGATAAGAATTACGCAAAGTCCTATACATTGATTTTTTAAAATTTAAAGCTGTCGACTGATAAATTCAATTGATAAAAATGTATTTATTACTAAAATAATCACCGTAATACAATTATCAAAAAGCTTATCATCATTCAATTATATATAATTTAAAAAATAAATTAAATTGAAGAGGAAGCATAGAGCTTCTGCATTTTAATTAGACTGAAATGCGACGAAATTGAAAAAAATTGACGGTTAAAACCCCTCGTTGTGACGTTTCAAAGAAAAATTTGCTAGCATACTTCTGCTCTAAGGAAAGGACGGTGCAGTTCATAGTCCACTACAGCACTTTCGCCCTTGCGTTTTGCAAAAGGAAGGAACGATGGGATAGATCGCGATGCTTAAAATGATAAGCAATACGTCGCTTAACCATATCATCTAATGCAATAAAGAAAATTATCACCAAAAAGCAAAAGCAGATTGCGCCGATTATTATTGCAAATTAAAGCACCGAAAATAAAGATTTTCAAATGCACGAATTGCACTAATTTTTCAAGCAATTTCATGTTGTGAAAAAATAAAAAATGTGCAATTTTTTTGATAAATTATATAAAAACGATTATTAATATAATATTTACAGATGCTATTTGTTTGAAAAATTTTCTTTTTTTAAGGAACATTTAACTGTAGGAATAGACTTCTTTTGCCCATCAAATTTATGGGAATTTTGTTCCAAAATCTGGTACCAAATCTTGTTTTTAGCCAAAACTATATATAGTTTTAAATGCAATGCATTTTCTAGAAGGAGTTTCAGTAATCTGAATTGTACTAGCGATATATTTTTATCGCCACACAACTTTTCGGTAAAATCTATTATTTATCTTCAAAATAATCTAGCAAAAACACCTACATCTAGTAAAAACAGGCAAGAAACGCGCTGAGTGTTAGGAGAGGAATTCACACCAACAAGGAAAAGCAATTCTACTTTTGTTTGATTTAGGTTGAGTCGCTGATGTAGCGAACTTGTCGATGTACCTCAGCCACGAAGAGAATATTGGTAGAAAGCTAATATTTTGATTAATTCAATACTTTACCTCCTAAAATAGTTTATTTTGGCAAAATGCGTGACAATTGACCACTGTATTGTTCAAGATTTTTCTATTTATTTTTACATTTTGCTTTTTTGCTTTTACATATATATTTGTTCTTTTTTAGGCTAAAATTAAAAGCTTCTCCGTACTTCTTTAGCACTTCCTGAAGGTTAGCACATTGGAATAAACTCCAGAATTTTTGCTTGCTATCTCAATCAGCAAATCGTTCTCATAAATAACGCTATGGCATTGATTTGCAGGGGCTTTCTCACTTTCTCACTATAACTAGCATGAAAATTTCATGAAAGTGAAGGATAAGATAGAAGAAGGAACAATAATTTTATTCCATTTTAACGGATAAGTTATTCTCCCTTTCAAAAATTTACGCCATTTATTATTTTGATATAATGTGTGCTTATCAACCAAATCGGGAGCGAATGAGCGCTTTTAGAAGAATAGCCTAAGCTTAAGAGTTCTTATTACTATTTAAAAGTTCAGATGAAGGTGAATATTTCTTTTCCTTAAACCGTCGTAAATGTCAGATCCATTTCCAGAATCCACCACAAGCACTATGGGTTTCTGGAGGTGTTAATGAGTTGATACGAAAAGACTGATTTTTGCATCATATCGGAGTGCGGTTGTGAGATAACACCGAGTTTATGGAAATTTACGGATGTTTTACCGTTGGATTTTGTGAAAAGACTAAAAAGGATGACCGTTGACGAGACCGTTGAAGACAATTAAGTAAATTTTACGGTTGCGGAGCATTACGATAAGTTCTCAGGATATTATCAATAAAAATCCTATAATGATAAATATATGAGAAAATTGATGGCAGTGTTACGAATAACTTATGGCATAATGTTAATGAAGCAATAAAGGAACTTATCGGGACTTCGATGTTAATATGACATAGCAAATTTCGAGATGGATGTAGGCAACGTGTGGTTTTAAAAATTAAATAATTAAATTAAAACGAAACGAAAATGGTGCAACTAATGCTTTGAATAAAATAATGCTTTAGGGGTGAAGGGTCATAGGAAGGAAAGCGGACTATAAAGTACGCTAATTCAGCAGATTAAGAAGAATTTTTAAAGAATTGTACTGATTTTGGAGAAATAGGTGTTTTTTCCCTTAATACCACAGCTATTAATAATAGCAAATTGCTATTAGCTATTACTAATGGTTATTTATGGTTTTAGATGGGTTAATTTAATGTGAGCGAGCGTTCTTTCAGTGTTCTTTAGTAAATTCTTTGGGAACGTCATCAACGAATCAGTGGAATCAGACTATCATATTCACCTCAGTGAAATATTACGTGCGCCACGTGCGTCAGCTACATTTATTTATTGTCAACCATAAGACCATTTATAAATTATGAAGAAATTGCTAAGGTTATAATTATTTAATTCCTCATTCTTTTGAATATGATATTTGACTACGATCTTTGTTTTTGACGAAAGTGAAGTGACGAAGCGAATGATTCGACGAATTTTAGGAACGATATGATCCAAATAATTGCGAATATCAGCAAAAGATGCATTAGAATATTTCAATTGACGAAATTTATTACCTTATGCAGTATTTTAAATTTATAAATCTACATTTTATGCTCTTTTCCCTCCAAACAGATTAACAGATTACTATAAGCATTGCATTCATTCTGAAATTATTATGCTTTAGGCAAAAATCGAATATTTCCCAGTAATTTCAATATTCCGTTTCGTTTTACTGCCAATAAATAGCTTGAATTGAACGTTTATTGGAAATGACTAACATTTGAAAAATCTCTTCAATTATTCAGAGAATCGGAAGTTTTCAGCAGTAAAATGACTTTGATTCTCTAAAAAGTTTATTAGAAAGTTTGATTAATTTATTACCAAAGCGTTATTTCATTTCATACTGGCGAGTTTCAACCCATTTTATTTTTGTTATTATTAGAGTTCGTTGAATCAAAAATATTTCCGAGTCTCCATCAAGAAGATCGTATAAAATCTTATAGATCATTTAAATCAATTTTAAATTAGTTTTAAATTACATTTTCTGGCAGCCATTTTTGCTCAAATTACTCTCAATCTTTCCTTACAAGGTAAACCTTTAATCATAAAGATAAATAAAGAAAATTTTACTGGTAAAGGACCTGTGAGCTTATTATGCTATGTTCTATTACAGGTCTAATGTAGGTTTTGTATAATTAAATTTTAAAAGACAGTTATTTCATTTGGAAAACATCAATAATTATAGCTTATTTAGCAGCCAATTCTTTCTAGCTTCCGTAATAGCCATTTGTTATTAGTGCGAATTCCCAGATCTGGAATCTACTTCTTATTGTCCTCTTCTCATAGTATTACCATAAAAGCAGATGGAATGGATTTCTTTTTATTGTAATAATATATAGACTATGCGAACTGTGGCTGGTGAAGTGCATGCGACCCTACCCTTTATGCTATTTAATGTGGCTTATAGTAATTCAACTTTTAAATTATAATCATAATTCCTAGTCTATTGTAATATTTTTCGGAAACAAATTATATTCAAAATTAAAATGTGATGATTAGTTTCAAGATTTAATTTAATATCTCAAAGAAAAGATAAATGATCATTTTAAAATGTCTCTTCCCAAAAAAATTCCAGTTTTTTGAAATAATCTTGAGGCCAAAATATTTATTCTTCTCATTTCAAAACAATAAAGATGAAAAATTTAATAATTATGGAGAAAAAATGGAATTTCTGTCGAGTCTTAAAAATAGATCTGAATCTTTTCAATTCAACAATTCCCTTTTTTTGCCAATCCTTTTGTAAATGGTTGGGTGTATTCTGAAATAATTATACTTTACTTTGATTTAATAAATATACTTTCCGACAAAATAGTGCATAAAAAATTGACAGAAATACAAGAGAAACATGGAATGAAGTTTTCAGAATCGAACTCATTCAAGGAAAATTGTTTACCGACTAATTTCAATTTTTAGGACAACACATTCTTCTGAATCTTTATAGTCAATTACGAAATTCTGTAAATCAAAATAAAAGCACAATTCTTCTTCTTCTTCTCCTAACAGCTCTCATCATTATTGGTTAGGCTGGCTCCAACGGCTACAAGGGTAAGACGCTTCTAAGCGGCGCGATCTGATACCATCGTCGACAGTAATGGAAGCCATTCCTTTTTCCATCGTCTAAGTCCATATTGTTGGCCCACCTATACGTTCAAAATCTTTTCTCATCGTATCAGTCCAGGTCTTTATTTGTCCACCTCGCTTTTGACGCCAATCGTCACACGGTTTAGCAAATAACGAAATATGCGTCAACTCGTGTGGTGGACGACAAAGAATACCCTAACCAGCGAAGGCGACGCTCTGTGAAAACATTATTTATGCAAGTGGTATTTGAACGAAGGTGGATGCGATCTTGTGATATCTTATCCACTCAACGGATCCATAATATGTACCTTAGACAAGAGTGGTCAAAGGCAGATAACTTCTTAATATCCTCTACTCTCATTGGCCATGTCTCAGAACCATATAATAAGATCGAACGGATCACGGCAATATAGAACTTTCGCTTTTATGGTGATTTCATGACGATTCCATAAAGGTTTCGTCAACTGGAAGAGCGCATTTCTAGCTGCCGCGATCCGAGTTATAATATCATCTTTTGCCTGTCCATTTAGTATTAGAGTGGAAGGTATTTGAAATCAGGCACTTCCTTAACCGACAATGAATTTACAAAAAGAGGCATTCAAGAGTCAGCTTCTTGTCACATAAGACGAAAAGACTTTCGTTTTATTTACATTGATCCTAAGTCCAATTCTTTCTGCAGTTTCTGACACGTTATTTAGTATTACTTGTATTATTAACACTTCGTTATAACTATAATCAGCAAAAAGGACTACATCATCAAAGTATTCAAGATTTGTGATGCTCTGGACTCTGATTCGGACACCTCTTGAGTGCCGACAAGTAGTGTCCATTATCCAGTCTATCGCATAGTTGAATATTGTTGGGGAAAGGACGCAGATCTGACGGACATCTGTTCTTATTTCGAAAGAATTTGTCAATTCCTCATATATACAGACCTGCACCGATGTGCGCTCATAAAATGCCTTTATGAGTCGAATGATCTTCTCTGGAACACCGTCGCATTCCATCAACCTCCATAGCGTCGCTCTATCAATTGCATCAAAGGCAGCAAAGCCGATGAAACACGTGACAGTGGGTTGCAAATATTTGAAGCGATTTTCCAACACCCTTCTTAACGTGAATATCTGGTCAGCACAACCGTGCCCTGGTCTGAAACCAGCTTGATTAGGGTGCATCCTACTGTCTCGTACTTCCTTAAGTCTGTTGAGTAGCAAGGAAGCAAAAATTTTTGCTGAAACGTCTAATAGGCTGATTCCTCGATAATTGTTGTAGTATGTCCTATCACCTTTCTTGAGAATTGGGAGCAGAATTGCTTTGCTCCAATCATCTGGTAATATTTCTTTTTTCCATACTTAAAAGTACATTTGTTGAAGGTGAGCTATGAAGGACGATGGATAGCATTTGAAAAACTCAGCCTTAAGACCATTTTCTCCTAGAGTTTTGTTTGCATTAAGCTTATGGATAACTGAAATTATTTCTTCTTCTTTTGGAAGCTCGCAATTGCAAACGTATGCTTCGGTATCAGCTATATCAGGGGCAACAGTTGGTGCTTCATGGTTAAGTTTGGTCTCAAAGAATTTTCCATCTTATGAGGCCATCCTTAATACTTTTAGCTTTAATTTTTTTAGTTCGAGATAGTTGAAGGATCTATTTTCTGCGAGTTGTCAATTTTATGCGGATCTTGGCTCGAACCAAAATATGGTCAGATCTATGAAGATTACCCATTTCAGCGCCGCAGTATGAACGGCTATCTCTTACCATTTCACTGATCGTTCCCCGAGTCATAATTACTTTATGAAAAAAGCAGAATAGTTTCCTATTCTAGTCGCCTAATTAAGCCGACGTCTCCATTTTTGAAGCCATGTCACTCCAATAGAGATTTCTGTCCCGCCTTTCTATTTTCGAAGCACCCGGTAGTCAGGATCACCTGACATTCGTGCTTTGGCAGCTTTTTCAGACAATTGGACAGTTGCTTCCGATACCCAACTAGTATGCCCTAGCGTGGAAGTAGCTGATTTTCGGGGACATTCCTTTAGTTTAGACCAGTATTCACTTGTCGTTCCATAAAAGTCATTGATGTCTATATCACTGAGATATAATTCAATAATTCGACTTGAAATTTCTCACCATTAATTCTCACCATTGAAATTCACTCACTGTCCCCGAATTTTTTAGTTTGAGTTGGTTGAAGGATCTTGGGGAATGCTGCGAGTTGTCAATTTTTATGCGGATCTTTGCTCGAACTATAACATGGTCAGATCCATGAAGATTGCCTGTTTCAACGCTGCGGTAGGAACGACTATCTGGTAAGAATTCTTCCAACGGTGACTGACTAAAATATAATCGATTTAGTTGAAGTGTTGCCCGGAAAGTCCTACGTGACTAGATGTTTTTTATGATGCGGGAAGCAAGTATTAAAAACAAAAAGTTCATGATCTTCGGCATAACGAAAAAGACATTCCCCATTGGCACACCGGTCTTCGATGCCATATTTGCCAATTGTTGAGGTCATCGTTGAATTATGACAGTTGAATTATGACCTACATATGATTTACATTATGACGCATTATTACCCATTATTATCCATTATTTAAATATATCTTTAAGGTGATACGCGAGCATTCCAGTCTCCCCCGATTATGATCATATCATATTTCGATAGAGACTTTGTTAGCAGTTAAAGTTCCGCATAGAACCTGTCTTTATCGTGGTCATCTGCCGACAGAGTTGGAACACTGATAGACATATACACTGATGACCAAGATATTGCAGAATTTTTCCTTAAAACTTACCGGGCATAAAACATACGGTCGTTTACTGGTTTGCACCCAATCAAAGCTGAATGGGCCTTGTCAGACATGACAATCGCTACGCCATTTCATTACGAGTTATTAGAAGCATCACAGTGATATAGCCAGTATCTCTGCTTTGAACCAGGATTGATAATTGCTCGAGACCCAAAGTGAGGAAGACGGACCTCCGACAAGCAAGCGATATCCACACGATATTTAGACAGGATGTGGACAATGATCGCTTGGATTGCAACGTCCATTCTGTCGTTCCACGCTGATAGGGCTAATACCTCGCCGCGCTTGTAAAGGGCTGTTCCCCTTGATAGGTTTCAAGCAATTACCCTGGCTTGAGAGCACATTTTATTCACCAGCCTTGGGATCGCTTTAAACCCGGATTGTATACTTATCGCATGTACCACCGGGCTCGAAGTATCATGCGCGTCGGGAGACGCGGATGCCGTATGAAGTGTATCTGACCCTTTCACCATAGAGTCACTTGGGGATAGAGTTACAAGTGAGTCCCTAGCAGCCACCTGGATTTTTGATATAATGGCAGGTTTACTCCTGCCAAAGACAAAAAAAATTAAATTTGAAGAAAATAATAAAATGACGATGAAATTTGAAAATATATATATGACTATGTATATATATATTATTTATACAATTTAATTGATTTGATTTAATTTAATTGATTTAATTTTAATTTATTATATTTTAATTTTAATCTTTGCTTGGTAAAAAAAAATTAAAAGTGGACTTTAAGAGGACTTAGCTGAATTGTGATCAAAAATAAAAAATAAATCCACAAAAATAAATCGAGAGTATTTTTTTGAAACGACCGCTCAACAAAAATTTTTTTAATTTCAATTGACGAATGGACATTTTATGAATTATTTTAACAAATTATGTGCCAAATTTTTATGGTTAAAAGGCAAAGTAAACATATAAGCAAATAAACAAATTAACAATTATCATTATTTTATCCTGATTTTTGTGTTTTTTTATACAAATAAATAAACATTAATAAACATTACATTTTAAATATTTGTTTATGTTGTTTAATTGTTTAAAACTCCGAAGAAGTTTGTTATGGCTTTAAAATATTTCCAAATTCTAGCATGTGGCTTCTACCGACATGAAATTTGGCCCGCCTGATCTAAATCATATAGCTGAAAAAATTTGGTTTTGGCCGTTTTCGTCATCCAATATGAGATAAGATTTAGTGCATTTGGGTTCTATAGTTTTAAGGGGTCATGAGAGATAAAATCTACTATCATCAAGCATATAATGAGGCGCGATTTTAACATATATTATGCCACTGATGTACTTACTTTAAAAACAGCTCAGATCTACCTTGTGAGACACTAGATTTGATGAGAACAAGGTTGTGGAAATTGTTAATAGTATGGAACTGAAGACAATTAAATGCAGTAGCTATAACGAGGTAATTGATGCAACTTTATCATTATTACCCACCATATTTATTTATCTTTCCAGGTAATCTAAGAAGTTTAAAATGGTAAATCTTTTCTAAACCAGCCATACTGTTGATCATTTTTCATACTATTAACGCTTTAACGATTAGATTAGTTCTGTGCGACATATTAATCTGAGAAATATTCTTTATCCTCTAAGAAACTAACGGGTCTATATTTTCCTATGATCTGCTAGTACTCTAACGAAGGCAAAATGCCACGACACTGGAATGCTGCCGGTGTCCAGTGTGCTTTTAATTGTGAGAAATAAGAGCAAAGATGGCTATAATCAAGCTCTTATATAAATATAGCAAATCATACCAATCCTTGTTTGACTCTCGATGAAGTGATGAAGTGATCAAGTGACCATTGAGATTCATTAGAGAAAACAGGCCATCACGAATCGTGTGGCGTGAAAAGAATAATTTATAATATAAAAAAAAAGTAAGGCAATAATATGTTCAAGCATTTAAGTCGTGAGCCTGCGACTCTACATCACATATTCACAAATAAAACATCATCTCTCTACATAGTACATACAGCTTGGGAGCCACTTCTTGGCTAATAAGAACGAAAGCAGCTAATGTTGAAAATATAATGTGCCATCTTCATGATACTGATACAATAGATGACATAGCATAAGTATTTTGTGAAAAACAATAAAATAATATATATTACTTTTTTAGAACAATAACAGCATTAACACCGAAATTATTATGTGAGTCATCGAATATAGGGCGAATCTATGGAATAAGATTTTCCGGCTCCGATCCAAAAGTCTGGCAGGAGAGCGTATACCCCTCTCTTTTCCTTTTTCTCCCACTTATTTTCCAAATATTCCTTTTTTCATTCTATTTCCTCATTATTAATTTATTTCTATATTCATTAAAATAATTTACCATGTGTTTTTATTTTTTTATAATCTACTATCATTTTTTATAATCTATCTAGCAAATTTGATAATAATTATGCCCCATCTCATTCTCGAGATGAGACTGATTAACTCGACTTAAAATTTCAATCTCACAAGTATAATGTCTTAAGTGAAGAGATAACGAGATAATAAGAAATAAGAAAACAAGAAAATTCGTCTAATTGAACAAATCTTCAACAAAATGAGGCTACAGTATTTTTATAGAATTTGTGACACTTAACCAATTCAAGTTGATTAAAAGAAGGAAGAACACTGAGGCGCAGATCGAGTTTCCAGTTTAAGGTTTATCTGGATCCCGAAGATAAGAACAGTTAACAGTTAAAGTAAAAGGAAAAGGAAAAGAAACTAAGTAAAGTACACCATTCCTTAAATATTCCATAAATATTCAAATGTTTATTGCTTCTTTACGCTTCTTTTATATTACAAATTCTTTTCACCATTCACCAATCGTAACGTCTTATTATCTTTAAAGGGTCACAATGGCGATTATCAGTAACGTGTTGTGTAACTTTCATCTATCTTTGTCCTACAATGGATTATGTGAATTTATTTTTGCATTCAACCATTTCTTAAAAATTTTGTTTTAAAAGTTTTACTTTGCTCGCAAATTCTATCAAATTAAGCTCTAAGCTAGGGCAATAAATGGGCAGAAATTGGCATGAATATAGCGTCCACAATGACGCAAAAAACTGGTTTTTACGAGAAAGACAAAGCTGAATAAGTGCAAAAATCGAATATTTGAGAATTGGCATAATTGGAATAAATTGGGTGGAACAAAATAAGTCCACTGTCGTCGAAGAAATTTTTTCCTTAATCAGTTGGCTTAGTGATAAAAAAACAAAACTCCATTACTTTTTGTCTTTCTCTCTAAAATTTGTCGCCGAAAAATTCTTTTTTTCATAAAAAATCTTTACGAGATAATGGATGCGACAATATCTGAAAGATGCTTGGGTAAATCAAAATTCAATGAGGCATCAGAAGTTTACTATAATGATGAGATTACATGAGAAAATCTAATGAAACCGGCTTTATACAATTTTCAAAGCAGTTCGAATGATAATCCGCCCGATCCTTCACGATTTCAATAATAATATTATAAAAACACTTAAATCAACTTTATAATTATCCAGAAAAAAAATGGCATTAAAAAAATCCATTTTTATTAAATGTATATTTTTAATACAAAAAGGTGGTGGTCAATGGCTAAATTGCGAGCGATCTGGTTACTAAAACTAGAAGTACGAATTAAAAGACTCATTAAGCAGTGCAGTTTGCTGTTGACTCAGCAAATCATTACTTATAAATATTTGTTAAAGGTGTCATCTCAAATCGTTGTGCACAATAGAACTGGGTGACTTGCAAACCGATCCAACTTGTTTGTTTCTGCATCTCTCACGCACAATAACAGTTCATTGTTATAGTTGCTTTAGTTTGCTATAAATATTGCAATATTGCTAAGTCTGTTCATTTCGATCTATCATTTCAACATTTCGAAGAATATGTTTCATAGGTAATCATTCATTCATTTATTTTCATTTAATTTTTAATTAGAATTAGAATTATATAAGTTTTCATCTCCAAAAGGATTACTGGCAAAAAATATCATCTTGCAAATCAGTGGATCCAACCAAACCACCAATGGTGAGTGCTACTGGAAGATGAAAATTAATTCATCTATTGGTTATTATTTATTATTCATTTATTCTTGTTTATTATTAAACCAGAGAGTAAATATTATTATCATTAAGAAGCGAATATGATAACACCTAAGAACATCAAAAAATGCCATATCGAAACTATTAAAGCGAACAAACAAGAATATCCTATAGATATTTCATAAAATTGCACTACAAGCTTTGAAATTTCAGGGAAATATTGATCATAAGTATTCTTTATATTTTTCTGGATGCACAACTTTATTCTCCTCCAGCAATGGGTGGTTCATATGGTTGTGTAGTTACGGTGAGCTTTTATACTAACTCACCACGAAAAAAAATATGATGCCGCAAATTTTTGGAAATTAAAATTGAGAACTGATTTTTTTATCTCAATTATTTCTCAGCAAAAAACAGTATTTGGTGTTATTTCAGGGTGATCAATTATATTCACATGGTAATTATATTCGAAATTTGAACAATACTGAAAAGAATGAATTGATGGTCTATAAGAAGGCTATTAATGAATTTCAAGAGGTTGCTTTCATGTTTTTAAATTGCTGCATCATTTTTTTTTCAAAAATTTTATTTCCCATCATAATGGTGATTTTATTTTTCTATGATTTTATGGTTTTTTATTTTTTTCATAAATATTTTAAAGCTATTTTTGACAAAATTGATTTGTGCTGATTGTGTTGGGCTAATTATGTTTCAGCATAGAAATTCGAACATTGCTAGGGATCCAATAATATTTTTAACTTGTAATGAATATTATGCTCATCTTTTACTTTTTAGAAAATTGATGATGCTTTCAAAAATATCGGACGAGTCGATAATAATGGAACACTTCCACCACTTCCAGCTCGTCCAATGATGCCCTCGTTCTGTACGGGAAAGGATACGGTTCTATACGTATTCAACGGATGTTTTATACAGGTAACAGGTTAAAAGAAAAATTTCCCATTATTTTTTATATTACCTCATGCAAAAACATCAATAAAAGCCAATAATTTGAAGCCAATAATAATAAAACTGCAAATGAAATATAAAATTCTTGTAGAACAATAAAGTGTATATTGGTCATACGTTTGCTCGAGATCTCAGCAATCAAGAAATAAATGAAATGGAGGAATTTTCGAAGAGGATGACTCTTAATAATAATCCAGCTATTCAGGTCAAGCTATTAATTGTTTTTATGAAATTTATTTTCACACCACTTTATTTTATCTTTATAGTTATAATATTTCGGTTCACTTTTCACATTATACATACATATTTTTATATTTATTGTAGCATTAAATTCACCATAAATATTTCTTCAATAGACAAAACAATGAATGCAACAAATATATGGCTAACGACTGATTTTTAAAGTTGAATTTTGTTTTTTTTCGAAAATATTTACTAAAAAATTTTTTCAGGGAATGTCAACAACGACGACTGCACCATCGACACCAATGAAAACTCTCGATTTTTGCACGGAATTCTGATTTTACTTATTGTTTAAAATTGAACTTCATTGTAATCGTTTAAATAAATAAAAAAATATAAGCAGAAAAATAAAAAAGTATTGTTTGCAGAATGAAATAACAAAAAGCGATGTCTGAAAAATTTTCTTCATAAAAATGTAAATAAATGAGTTATACATAGAATAATTTTATTCCCACAAATTGCTGCAGTTTGCTAAATGGTTATTCTGAATAAATAAATAGAATTACAGATTGAAGTCGCCTTGGCCAAATGAAATGAATTCATGGATTCTTTTCTAATTATAGTTTAATAAAAATTTCCAAAATTATATTCTTATTTTCAAGTAATATCTCTATTTATCTCTTCTGAGATTTAATAAATTGTGAGTTAAAAATAATTTGGTGCATAAAACTCGCGATGACACTTAAAAAGCACAAGTTGCGATTTAAAACAGTGAGATAGTTCGCTGCAGGGAGAATATTTGGTTTTGTGGTTTTGGTTTTTGGTTTTCTCAAACAGTTTCAGTATCTTTATGGTATCAACAATCGAAGAATTGCATAACTCCTAAGTAGCTGTTTAAAGAAAGGTCAAAGCTGGGTCGATGTAGAAAAAATAATTATTGTTTTAATTATAAATAGACCTCAATTCGAAAATAAGGAACTAAATATGAAAGACAGACATTTTATTTTTCAATTAGAAAAAAATTAACGTCACTGAATATCAAATTACGATGAAAAAAAGTCTGAAATGTAAAAATGTTTATTTTTACAGAAAAGCCTGTCCAACAATGATGAAAAATGAGAAAAGACAGATGGGGAAAAAATTTTAATAAAGAAGGAGTGAAAACACCATTTTCCGATACAACTGGTTTCACTGGTTTTCAGATTCCTGCCTCTTTGTCCAAAAATCATAGTGCGAATGGTCCTGTAGCAGCGCTCGGATTCACTTTTAATGTTCCTCTTAAGAAAATGGCTTAACTTAATCGAAGTAATGTGTCATCAGACATCTTTCTTGCTTCCTTTTTATTGAACTCGAATGAAGACTGGCTTGCGCTGGCTTTATTTTAATGAAATTATTATATAAACAAGCATTCCATTAATTCATTCCATTCATTCATTCCATACCGAGCACTGATGGCATTTAATAAAAAAAAATGCATCCAGGTTGAAATTTTTTCTTCTTTTTTTTATAAATAATATATAATAATATATTAAACCTATTTTTCCAACATGAATTGCTTGATGAGCTTCCGTTATGAAAAATGGATAAAGATTTTAAAAATCCTTTGTTTAAAAATTTTTATTTGAAAATGTTTTACTGCTTCAATTTTATAATGTAAATAACCGAATGATAAAAATACAATTAAGGATTTCGATTCGAATTGCTTTTTTAAAATGTTCTTTTGTTTTGCAGTTCATCAAAATTGCTATGCCGCATATCGGTCTTTATTTTTTCCTTTTCCTTTATTTGATTGGTGGTGCGTGGACTTTTGCCAGGTATATATTACTATTTTCGATATTGAATTATAGCAAAGCTTTCAAAGGCAAAAGAAAATGCTCCAAAATAAATGAATCTGAAATTCGTCATTTCAGAGTCGAACGTTCAGCAGATCGAGAATATCAACTGAATAAATTGCAACGTATTAATAAAATATATGTAGATTTGACTGAAAGAATTTCGAATATTTGTCCCCGTTCGTCCGATCATTCACATTTTCGATCGAAATTTTTTGAATCGCTGCGAAAGTAATCCTTGAAATATTATTAGAGGTTATATTATGATATAAATAATAGCTTTTTGATTTGTTTAGACTATCGTCATTAATGGAAGGTCGAGATTTTCCGCTCAATCCAGATTCTGATAAGCAAACGGAGGATCTTGTTTCTTCTCGATGGACTAAAATGTCATCAATCTTATATGCGTTATCGATTTTGGTTATTATTTAAAATATATTTGGAAGCAAATAATTTAATCAATTTAGTGGGTTAATAATTTTTGTCAAATATTTTGTCCTAATCCCATTCATTTTTGGCCCAATTTCGCTAGAAATTTCCCTCTAAATAAGTGAAAGGCTTATCGAAGCATAGATTATTTCAAAAAATATTTTTTTAAGACAACAACGGGTTACGCATATGCAGTTCCAGTGACTGTATTGGGACAATGGATCGCAATTGGCTACGGCCTTTTCGGCATACCACTTATGGTCTTAGCAGCTGTTGATATTGGCAGCTTTCTCTCTGAAATTGTTCTTTATATTTATGCTAAGGTCCTTCATTTTTTCGGTAGTAATCAGTGCAAAAAATGAGATTAAATTTATCGGACCAAAAATTAAGCTCCTTATAGAAATTATAATTTAAATTCATTATTTTACATTCTTCTAAATTATCATCAATATCATTTTTTTGAAAACAACCAAGCGGAGCGACAAATTCCATGTGTTTGCAACAACAAATGTGGTGAAAAGAAGTTATCGATAATATCGATATGAAATACAAAAAAAGGAAATATCGAAAAGGAAATATCTAACAATGTAAACGGAAATAATACGAATAAAGGGGAATTATAGAATAACGTAAAATGAACTGAGTTAAATGAATATATTATTGATATAATCGCATACTGAAAGACCTAAATTTCAAACTTCCCACATAGTGTGAAGCTTTTAATCTATCATAAACATGGCAAAATAATATAATATATTATGCATTACATACATTTATCATATTATTTTTATTATATCATTATTATTAATTTCATATATTTCATATCTCATATATTTATGAGAGGCAAACTGAGGTTTTCGAGCGACTAGTAATGACAACTTTTCTTAAGGATTTAGCTCATAAAAATTTTATGGATTTTTAAATTTTAATTTTAATTTCACGCAATTTTAGTACAGAAACACTCGAAAACGATTCGTGAAATCATGTTTAATTCTAAGAAAAAATCAACAAGTTATGGAACTTGTGGAAACAAAAACAATCAAAATCTCAGAAATTCCAAGAATTCGGTTAAATTCGACTTGAAAATTCGTTTTATTATTCTCAGTAGCGACTTCCTTATTATAAATTTTTTTTATATTAATTACTGCTATGTTTATCATTGATAATATTGAGAAATACTATCTAAAGAAATTTTTTTAAGATCAGTTCGCAATCACAAGTTTTTCAAAAGAAGAAAAGGAGTTGACCAAAAGAAACGGCGTCTACCACTCACTGTAAATGCATCAATTTTACTGATATTTTGTATGCTTGGCGGACTTGTTTATATCGCTGCGGGTTAGAACATAAAATATAAAACTTAAAATTATTATAAAATATAATATTATTAAAATATTATACAAATGTAAAACTTAAAAACTTAGAATATAAAACTTTATCAATAATGGTAATAAATTCGTGATATCCTAAAAATCAAAGGCATGCATCCGAAAATCAGCCTGTATGTACTAGGTTAATTAGAAATGTGCTAATTGGGTAACGGAAGCGACTGTCCGAAAAGTCTGCCAAAGCATGACCAGGAAATCCTGACTATCAGAGACTCTTCGAAGAATTGCAACGACAGTAGCATGGGGATGCCCTAACAAGGATTCAGACTAGGATGGTTATGACGGTTATGCTGATCGGATATCACGTTAAGAAAGATGTTGGAATATCGCTTAAAATATCTGTAACATGATGTGTTTCATCAATTTTGCAATTTCGATTCAATTGATACAGCAAGCGGAATATGACGGTGTTCCAGAGAAGAGCAGTCGATTCAGAAAGGTATTTCATCAGTATACATTGGCAAAATTCTATGAGAACTGACAGGCTCTTTTGAAATAAGAACTGGTATCCGTCAAGACTGCTATATTTTCTCTACAATATTCCTCTCTGTGATAGACTGGATAATGGAAACATCTTGTTGGCGCTCAAGAGATATATACATCAATCCAGAGCAGTATCATATGCCTGGAATATGCTAATGATATAATCTTTTTTGCTGAAAGTTATGACAAAATGCAAATAATATTAAATTATGCGTTAACTGTAACAAGAACCGGATAGTGTAAATGATATAAGATGATAAAATACCTATCAATTCATTACCGACTGTGCAAGACTTTAAATATCTCAGGTTCACTTTGATCCCAAACAGCCAAGTGAAAGACGAAATTACAACTCGGATAACGGTAGCTAGAATGCTTTCTTCCAATTAATAAAATCATCATGGATTCATGTGAAATCACTATAAAAACAAACGTTCGCATCTATATGGCTGCGCGGTATGGCCGATAAGAGTGGAGGATATTAAGAAATCTATTTTTTGACCATTTCATGCCTAAGATATATTTTATGGATCCGGCGAAAAGATATAATCTCACATTGTTGCATCTATCTTCGCTCAAATACCACTTACATTAACAGTACCACCAAAGAGAGTCGCCTTCGTTAGTTAGGGAACGTTTATCATAGTCCACTACAGGGAAATATACTTATATTTCATTTTTTGCTGATATTCGTTATTTCGTAATTTTTTTTCGTTATTCTATAAAGGCGACTCTCAGCGGTATATGGACTTCGAAATCGGACACCGAAAAAAAAATGGTTTTTATTAACAGATGACGTTGGACCAAACAGCTTGGAGACCTTTGTAACCAGCGGAGCCAGTCTCTCATAGAGATATCCTAAAAATCAACTAATCATTGAAATATATTCAAAATACTAGAAAACTAGAAATAAATATTCATTTGTCGTTCCAAGTTTAATAATTTCCGCTGCTTATTACTTAAATTTCGTCGATAGAAATACAGATGGTTTTCCAGCATCACCTAGATTTCGCTCTTAATGATAAGTTCACTGCCTCACGAGTAGGAATCGACCTACAACGCTATAACTTTCCATAATCTTCGTAATTAGTTGTTTTTTTGGTTTGATTAAATATTTGTCTAGTCAGATAAGCGAGCGAGTGTAACAGCAGTAGTAAATGTTCTTTAAAAAAATAAAATAACTAAAATTAAAATTAAAATTGATGAAAAATTAAAAGTTAAAATATCTCTTCAAATAAATTAAAATTTTTTCCAGGTGGCCAAAAAACTTTCTTGGAAGCCTTTTTTGTCACTTTTAACCTCGTTGCAAATTTGACAATGGCTGAAATGCCCAACGATTTGAATCATTTGTTGACACTTTTCTACATCATTATCTTTGTCACATTTGGTAGAATAAATTTATAAAGTTTGACTGATTTTTCTAAGATGATTCGAAAATCAGATTCAATTCAAAATTCAATTTTATTTCAAAATTTATGATTTCATAATAAATAGAATAAAATTAAATAAAATTAGGATTGGCAGTATTATCAATGTGCGGTGATTTAGCAGCAACTGAATTAAAATCACTTTTTTTGAAAATCCATTATTTTGGACGCAAAATTGATTGGAAGAGGCCATTCAATAGAAAGGACCAGGTCAGCTAAATTTGAAGAAATAAAATTCATATGTGGTACTTTATACATATGGTAATGCATAATACTCCGACAGCCGAAAGATTTGTTGCTCAGATAAGGAGAAAACCCTGAATGAAAATTCGGGAGATACTTATTCCGTTCTTTTAACGCCTCTCATAGCAAAGAAATTCTCATCATATTCAGTATTACACCAACGGAGTAAGCTAAACCAGAAATGCTTTAAATAACCACTAACTTATCATTTCAGGTTGAAATAAATGCAGAATTAAGTGCGTTGGTTAAAATAATTGCAGATGTACACAAAAAATATCCTGAGAAAAAAAAAATTTCTTCTGCTGATCTCATGCAGGTTCGCTTATTTCATTATGAATCTGTTTATCTGATGCTAAAAGCACTAGAACTGATAGAACTCACTAATACCGGTTTTAAATAAAATCGAATACTGAAGAAATTACAGTACCTTAAAGAAATCAAAGAAGAATCTGATGCTTTGAGATACAGACGTCGGGATACTATTGCTTATATGCCGCAAACATTCGAAATGCTTAAGTTTGCTGACGAAATGGATCTTGAAGACTCGGCGCATCGTTCTTTATCACAAATTGAAGTTTTACCTGCAATTGATTCTGATTCAGACCTATTCGACTTATTCGAGTGATAATTCAATTTTTGTTTAATCATTTATCACTGAAAATTTATCATCTATTGTGATAATAAACCATTTTGCTAACATCTCTGATAAATTTCCATTTTTTGGTTCATTCATTTCGATTTATTGGAGAAATATGCATGTGAAATAGAGATATGACCATATCAGTCAATATAAGAATACAAGAACGATAATTTGTTCCTTGATAAATAAAACTAAAGTTTTGTGTAAATCCAGCCAGCATCGAAATTCGAAATCTTACTTTCATACCGCATTTCCGAGAATTAATCCAGCATTCTTCTCTGAGAAGGCGTTCTTGACCTTGTTATCAACACCATGCTCCGTTAGTCAAAAGGTCATATAATATAAGTACAGTGTAGTGGGTTCCTTAGTATCTCTTTATTTTAATGGCTTATTCTCCGCATTATGCCAAGAATCGAACTCGTGATGATTGGTCCTCAGTTCGAATGCCAAACCACTTGACCTTATTGATTTATTTTCTGGTAAATAAATCGATTCACTTCATATGGCTATTTTTATAAAAGTTGATATGGCATGATAATTTACGTGAATTGACGTAAGTGCAGTATTTCTGAATTAAATAAGGTATTAATGGCAATAAATAGGTATTAATGGCAATAAATAATAAATGGTATTAATGGCAATTTTAACAAAATGAGTCTGGTCCACTTTAAATCTCATCAAACAGTTGAAGCAAAATGCTAAAATATTTATGAATCGTTCTAATGACATGCGAAATTTTTTCATATTAATATTTGATGGGCATTGTCATTGTTTCCATCGAATCTCAAAAGTGAAATTAAAAAAAAAAAAGATATGCATGAATAAAATGTGCTAAAACAAGAAAGACATGCATTTTTAGTTGATTTTTTCACTAGGTTTTGGAAAGAAATTTTCAGGCAAAGAAGCTACGCTAAAAGCATGGAAAATCACGCAGTAAAAATCACATTGCGACTGTGACAAGTAGTTAGCGACAAGTTGCAGTACAGACGCTGGGCAATAAGATTTCCGCAAAACTTCTCAAATTATAAATTAAAACGAGAGAGAAAGAAGAAGAAAATTAATTTTATATATTTTAGCCAATAATTCTTCTTCTTCTTCTAACACTTCTCACCATTACTGGTTAGGCTGGCTCCGATGACTATAGGAGTAAGACGTCTCCAAGCTGCTGGGATCGACGCCATTGCTAGTAATAGAAGTCATTCCTTTTTCCATCGTCTAAGTCCATATGTCGCTGGTCCTCCTATGCGTTCAAAATCCCTGACCGTGTCAGTCCAAGTCTTGATTTGTCCACCTCGCTTTTGATGCCATTCATCATACAAGTGACGAAATATGAGACAATTCTTGTGGTGGACGAAGGAGAACGTGCCCTAACCAGCGAAGGCGATGCTTTGTGATAAGATTATTAATGCAAGTGGCATTTGATCGAAGATGGATGCGATCATGTGATATTTTATCCGCTTGACGGATTCGAATCCTAAAATATATCTTAGAAATGAGTGGTCAAAGGCTGATAGCTTCTTAATATCTTCCACTCTCACTGGCCATATTTATAGCAAATTCGAACGAATTGCAGCTATATGGAATCAGATTTTCGTCTTATGGTAATTTCGCAACGGTTCCATAAAGATTTCATCAGCCGGAAAAACATAATTCTAGCTGCCGTTATCCGGGTTATAATTTCGCCTGACCATTTGGAATTAGAGTGGATCCAAGAAATTTAAAATCAGATACTTCCTAAACCTGCAATGTATTAATAAAAATAGGTATTTTATCAGCATCTTATATATAAGACAAAAACACTTTCGTTTTATTTACATGACCCTGAGTCCGATTTTTAGTGGAGTTTCTGACACATTATTTAGCATTACTTGCATTTCCTCATAACCGCCAGCAAACAGGACTATATTATCAGCGTATTCGAGGTCTGTTCTCTGGACTCTGGATGCAATAGACTGGACTGATGTTATGCTCTGAATTAATTTGCACACCTTTTTAAATGTCAACCTATTATCCAGTCTATCGCATGGTTGAATATTGTAGAGGAAAGGACACCAGTTTTTATCTCGAAAGATTCTGTCAGTTCCCCATAACACAGACCTGTGCCAGAGTATGCTGATAAAATGCCTTTAAAAGTCGAATGATCTTCTCTCGGACACGGTCAAATTCCATCAAAGCGCTGCTCTATCAAGTGAATTGAAGATAGGCTGCAGAATCGATGAAGCAAGTGACGGTGGGTTGCTGGTATTTGAAGCGATGTTCCAGCAGCGTTCTTAGCGCAAATATCTGGTCAGCAGAACCGTCTGAATCCAGCTTGGTTAGGATGCATTCTGCTATCTCGTGTTTGCATGAGTCTATTTAGCAAAAGGGAAGCGAAAATTTTTCCGGAGATGTCCAGTGTGCTGATTCCTCAGTAATTTTCGGAGTATGTCCTGTCATTATTCTTAGGAATTGGAAGCAGAATTGGTTTGCTCCAGTCTTCTAATATTATTTCCTTTTGCCATACCAGAGAATACATTTGTTGAAGGTGAGTTATGAACATTTGATGAACATTTGAAGAGTTCAAAGTTTCAAGAGTTCAAGAGCCCGAAGACCTTCTTCTCCGGGAATTTTATTGGCCTTAAGCTTATGGATTAGAGAGATTTCATCTTCTGTTGGCAGTTTACGGTTGCAAAAGTAAGGTTTAAGGGCGCGAATCAGTTATATTCGGGACAACAGATGACGCGTCGTGGTTAAGTTATGCCTTAAAAAATTCTTTCCATTTTCTGAGGCAATCCTTAGCACTTTTAATAGGCACCCCATTAATATCCCATATCATTTCACTGATCCAAGCAGTTATCATTTAGCATAGGCGCTGGGCAATAAGATTTCCTAAAACTTCTTAAATTATAAATTAAACGAGAAAAGAAGAAAACTAATTTTATATATTTTAGCCAATAATTAAATCCTTTCATCCATCATTTAGGCAAAGAAGGATTAAATATTGCTGCAATATGATTTATTTTTATTAAAAACGCCAGATAATATTAGAAAAATGAGTAATCAACCGTGAAAACTAAGAGAAATAAAAAACGCCCTTTAAAAAGTTATGATAAAAATTTATTCAATCGAGAAATATAAGTAAGTTTAACTCATTGTTTAATTTATAAATCTCAGATGCTGCTTTATTATTCTTTTACTATTCCATTTATAAATTGTTCTTGGATTTTTAAAAAGTTTTTTCCATAAAATTTTAAATTTCATATTAATTCAGTGTGATTCAGTAGAAAAAATTCAATATTCTTTTCAATATTCGGCTTAAGGCGAGAAAGGATAATGAGTAAGGATAATGTCTTGGTTAAGATCATTCAACTTTTAGATCATTTGAGATGGCCTTGAGGGTCCCCAAAGTTCGTGAGCCGCTGAAAAAAACGAAAAATCAAAATTTGAATAAATAGCCAATAGGTTTTGTTTTTTATTTTAATAAGGATCCAATAATTCCAAAGAAAATTTATTTCCTTTATGAGAGGATGGATTTTCCTTGGGTGCTATTTTGTTTTGCGCCACATTTATTATCAATTATGAGAAATGACCAAGGGTTCAAAAGGAAGGGTCAATAATGAGTCTCAGATGTATGAATGACTGCTAGCGATTCTTAATAAAATCATTGTCATCCTTAAGATTATGGAGCTTTGTGGATTCTTTATTGCCATTTTCGTCGTAAATTGCAGATTGGCTCGAAAATTTCATAATATAACGACACAGTTGTTTCATTGTCTTCATTGTCCTTAACAGGATTTTCTATAGACCTTCGTTATTTCATCGATTCAAATTTTAATTACAAATTGGCATCTTAAAGAATTAAATGTCGAAAGGCACTTTTTAATTTTTTGCCCTCATCGTTTTTAGCTTGGTGTTGAGCATTTGATTTTTTGAAACAATGATTCGAAATTAGGTCTCTATTTATTTAGACTGAAATAGATAGGAGTAAGTGGGCTTTTGAATTTCGAGTTTGATGGCAGGTTTGCTTTGCTACTATTAAAGCACTGAGGTCTTGCAATTTCTCCTCACTGCTTGGATTAGTGACTATTAAGAAAAGTCAGTTCATTTCGATTTAGCAGAATGAAATCCCAAAACAACAAACTATTTATATACTATCAAATACTGTCAGATTATTAAAACGGCCTTTAGATATTAAATTAATGATGCAAAATAGCTATTATATGAATCAAACGATTATCGACTAAGTAATGTAATCAGATGTAACGAAAGAATGAAAAAGGGAAATATATTAAAGACGATGTGCAATTCGGATTTGTAATCGAAAATAACTTCTTCAATGAATTTAAGGATTATTTTCGATATCACATTGCATTTTATGTTTACTTATTGCTTATTATAAATAATTCTTCTGAATAATTTTTACTATATTAAAATTGTGTCATCCATGAAACTTATAAGAAAATGCAAAAAAATTTTAAATTCCCGAAACTGAAAAAATTTACTGTTAAGGAAATCTGAAATTCACCTGAAATTCGTCTTTCAAGAGGGGTATTCAAAAATGAATCTTCCATATGTATAACTATTATGATGGTTCACATAGCAACAAATGCTTCTTTCCTAGAAAATTTTCCATGAAAAATTCTTAGTTTCTTCATTTTTAAGTGGTTGATATTTCCTAAAATTTCCTGAAAATTTCGAAGAACTTTCTTATTCACTTATACAACATTTCAATTGTATAATTTTCAACTAAAATTTGTAAAATGGCTAATATTTTATTGCTATTATTGGCCAAAATATACTAAATTATCAGACTGAATTTTTTTTGTTGAAATTTTTTTAAAACTTCGATTTATCTCTAATAATATCTTTTTAAATTATATATATATATAATTTTTTTGATCATAAAACATACTTTTTTTCAGCTTTGCGCTGACATCTGCTAAGCTAAAAATACTGGCATATTTGCAGATTTTTTTATCCCAGAAACATTTTAAGCGAAAGTTCTTTTTTTAAAGGAAGCCATTTAATGAATTACAATGTCGAATTCCATCAATTAATAAGAACTAATTAATCTTAGTTGGCAAGGAATTGCGAAAAAAAGTCTATTAATCCTCGGAATGTCTTTATAGAAAATATGCCTCATAATCGACTTAACGACGTCGAAAAATTCCTAAGATTGCGAATCGAAAACTTTTTTTTGTTAAGTGTTAATAAGTGTTGGTAGAAATTTTTTTTCATTCACTGTCCTTGCTGGCCAATTTTCATTTCTGTTGCAATCATATTTTTGTCAGTGTTAACGGAAGAATCTTTTCAAGCGAATTTTTTCGATTTATTTTTGGCAAAAAATTTGATCCTGATTTGGCAATTCAGAAATTTTTAAGATTACTAAATAATGGCGGAAAATATTCGCCAGAATTCGTTATTATGGTTTATCTATTTTTATGGGATATGTAATACGAACTTTTTCGAAACACTGGCAGCTGTCGAATATCCATGGACTTATGATAACGATCTATTTGGAGGTTTTGCTTCTTTATAATTCATTTATTTCAAAGTTCTTTTTATCCATTAAGGAATTTTTCATGCTAAAAATTTATAATTTTTGCTTTTTGAACAAATAATTTTTTGAAAACCTTTTCCATCATATTCAATTAGCGCATTATATAACTGCATGCATGGGCGATGAGTTCAAGCACCTCAGTTCCATCCCAATTGATTCCTCGATAACACTGTTCACTTATTAAAAAATTAGTTTATGGATTAAAGCAATCTTTATTGCGCAGATGATGATCAATTGGATTATTTTTCTCAGTAATTATTGCCACATCATTGGTAAATAAAGAGAAATGAAAGGTAATAAAAAAATTGATGGATGCAAATGGATGTAACTTATGGAAAAAGTGAGTAATTTCAGTTTTAAGGAGAGTTCCAATGAAAAGAATCATGCCGCTTCAAATTTTCATTTTACTTATGGTCTATAGACTGATAAGTCCATTCTGATTCCTCAATCCCTTTCACTCTCTGTTGTTGCTAATTTTAACGGAAAATTTATCGTGTTTCAATGCAGTTCTGTTCAGAAAAATGATAATAGCTGACAATAGCTGATAATAGCTTAAATGACAATATCTATTGGTATAATAATTTCACATTGATTTACCTAGTTCTTCAAATCTTTTTTCAATTACGATGGATGTCGGGAATTAAAGTCTCAGGAAGTTCGTGAGTTTCTCTTATTTTACCCGTCAATATTTGTATTTAACCATAAATTCCTCGACAACGTAAATCAGCATTTTTTCAGTTATATGGATGATTCTCCGATGGAATTATTTGTTTTTAATTCCATATTTTAAAAAACCAATAAATAATAAAAATTAACTAATTAATTAATCAAATAATTTAGCGGAAACTTTCTAATAACTTTAAGAGATCTATTTGAATATATTAATTAATCTTTCCATAATCGTTAAATTCGTTAATAATCGCTAAATTAAGATCAAATAAATCAAAGCAGTTACTGAATTAATGAACAGTTTTCAAATATTCATAGAGCACTAAAAGAATGGATGAACGCTAAATTAGAATCTCTTATATTTCAGTGGGAAACAACTTTTTGAAACTATTGTGCCAAATCGAAGTTCGGCTTCTACCGTAAATTTGCCATTAAAAAAATCTGACTTGCATCAGCGACCAACTTATATAGAGCCCCTTCTACCAAATGACTTCCAGGCAAAAAAACTGCTAACCATATCAGCAGCTAGCAGAGCAAGCTCATCCAGAAATGGTGAGCGCTAATTTTTTTCGCATTTCTGGTTCACTCTGTTGGTTTGCAAGACCAAGACCAGGCAGATTTTGCCATAGATTCTCTAAGCGAAATGCAGGTGGGTCGCTAGAACAATTCGGATTTTCGAAAGATAAGCACTGGAACTCCATCACTTAATTTAACAATCCAATAACTTTGAACCTTTAATGATCGAATAAAATACGTAGGATTCATTAGTTAATTAGAACTTTTTAAAATGCTTCAAATAAAATATGAAAAGAATCAATTAATTTTTTATTATAGAAACGAATTGTCCTTTAAAAAAAATTTGTTATCATCATTATAAATTGAAATAATCCATTATTTATCCATTCTCGAAATAGCAATCGAATTTAATTTTAATCAGATTTCTAAAATTCTCCGATTTTTGTTTATTTAATGTCACTTCAAAATGTTTTAAATGTTTTTAAAATAATTGAATTTAAAAGTTCTTTTTAGAAAAAATTCAAAGAAAATCATCGATTTTTCCTTTTCTCTTTAAAATCTTTGGAGTTTATTATATAGAAATTATAGAGAATATAGAAAATAAATTGCGCAAAACGGAGAGTGGCAAACGGTAAAAAATTTTCGTTAATCGCAAGAAATATGAAATACAAATGCAGAAAATTCTTCTCGCTGAAGAAAATAAGCAAAAAACTTTCAAAGAGAATTTTCTAAAAGTGGATTTCATCCTGGATAGGAATTGCAAAGATTTGAACGATTTCCTAAAAGAAGATTTAATGCTGCGAAACTTTATTTTTTTTAAAGAGTCCTCACCAATACTCGTTCCACTAGCTTGTCACATTGAGCAATAAGTTAATGAATCCCTTGGCGATAGAAATACAGGTGAAATGCCAGCATCTCCAGGATTTTTGTAAGGGTTTACTCCTGCGGGGAATCGAACCTCAGCATCGACGCTCCAAATCGAGCAACAACAAGCTACTTTCTACCCCATACAGAACTTTATTAGCCTAATATTAGCTGAATAGTACTGGGTTTTAAAGCTCATTCAACTACTACTGCTACGGCTAAATGTGAGTGTAAGTCTAACTTGTTGATGACAAGGAATTTGATTCGTTAATAATAAATATTTTTTCCTAAGAACAGTAACAAAAGTCGCTGGTTAGGCTCGTTCCGCTGGCTTGTCGTATCAGATAAATTTTGGTAGCTATTTTGCCATCAACCCATCAATAATAAGGGAATTCTGATGATTAAATTTCTAGATTAAAACTTTACACTCCATCCTAAAATTTCATAGCTTTTCCTTACTTTTGCTTCTTTTGGTTTTTCCCAGGAACAATAACCATGGAAACAAAGACAAAAAATGATTTTTAAAATAGAAATTATTGCGCTAATTCTAATTAAAACCTAATAGATTTGTTTAATAAGAAGCATTTAGTTAATTTACTTAGCATTTGCCAGACAAATTGTCTTTAATTGCATCATTTGAATTTTGCAGTGTTTTTAATAATTCAACAATTCGTCTTTAATCGAATGATTGAAATTTTCATTCGATATTGTTCAGGTGGGAATCCTTTAAATCGCAAGCAGTCCATAAAAAATAATCATTACTAATCGGGAGAAACCCTGGGAAAAAAGATATTCAAATATCTAAAAGTAATAATTTAGAAGCAAAAATCGATGACCTTATTTGGTCGTTTTCCTACTAAATAATTCAGAATCGTTGGAGCATTCACAGGAAATTAAGCTAAATGAATTCGCTAGAGTCTAAGCAAAGAATCTCATATAAGGAGTTTTGTTGGTTACGACAAAACGAAACGACGACTATACAAATTGATCCTTTTCCTTTTTTTCATTACCTTTTTCAAATTTTTCCATCGATTTTTGCTAAATTCAGTGAAGAAAAACTTTTTATGTTTAAATATTTTTATTTTGATTTATTTTAGACATTCTTTTCCTTTAAAATTTTCGATAGAATACAGATGAATGAAATTTTGAAATTTCCTTTTATAATCCATTTAAACTGCAGGAGTAAACCTGCCAAAAAATCCTAGTGATGCTTACGACTCACTTGCACTTCTATCGTCGCGGAACTCCCTGGCATATATTGCGACAAGCCAGCGGAACGAGTTTAACCAGTAATGGTGAGGGCTCTTAAAAAGAAATCCACTTAAACAAAATAAAAAATTATCAAAACAACTAAAATTAAGCCATCAAAAGTATTTTCTATTTTCGTTCTGGTGGCTAATTTATCTTCAAAAGCGAAATCCAAGTGGCACTAAGGATTTATTTGCGACTTTCTCATGCTAATAGCTAATGAAGTTAACTGAATCAGAAATGTTTAGGAATATTTTTTTGATATTATTTAGTGTAGGAAAGCAGTTCTGAAATATTTGGCAGAAAATTAATAAGCAATACGAGATATCGCAAAAAAAATCAGTGAAAAATTTTCTTTTATTTTCACGATTAATTAGCTATTCGTTAAAAGGGCAAATAATAGAAAGGAAATAATCGCATCTAGTTAATGACACCAAAGAAAGCTTTTTCAGTAGCTGATAATTATTAAAAATTGCAGCTGACAAGTGGCAGCTCAATGATTCCATGGCTGATGACGGCTTGTTTCTATCCATGCATTATAGGTCCAGAATTTTGGGGTCTTGTTAGCAAGCACTGGAGAATGTGCGCATTAGGCAAGATGCAATCACCGATTAACATTGATCCATCTACTTTACTATATGACCCAGCATTAATGCCAGTTGATATTGATAAACACGATGTTAGTTTTTTTCTTTTTGTCAATTTTTTATTATTTTTAATTTTCAATATTTCAATTAGCGTTCATTCTTTTCACGAATCTAAAATTTTTATTTATTTATATCTTTTTTTTCGAATTCCACAAATCGTTTTATTCGTTCAATCATTCCAATAAGAATTCGAAACACTGAAAATATAGTACTTCATTTAATTGAAGCAAATTTATTTCTTGGATGAATTGAGATCATAGAAATAAAGTTAAAAAATAAAAATACGTCAAAATTATACTGCTGAAGCAATTGAAAAACCGTTTAAGGTGGATGCAGTTTTCGATAATTTGGGTCAGTTGCCACTGCTAACCATTAATGATTCAAAAATCAGGCCAGACTGTGTGAATATCAGCAATGGGCCTGTTTTTCCTTACAGGTAAAAAACGAAAAAATAGATATAATTCAACATTTGTTCTTAAGTCTTCTGGTGCTTTGCAGACAAATTTACTAAATAAATTTACTAAATTTTTTTACTAAATAAAAAAGAATTCCATGATTATTCCCGCAGATTAATTGCTTCAATCGCATTCGAAAATCAAAAAGTTTTCGATATTGCAATTTTACAACCAAATTATGCCAATTTGGTGTCTGTTTGGTGCAGACGCACCTATATTTCTATTCTCCTCTGATTCATCTGATGAAAAAAGCTCATCCAAAATTAAAACTATAAAATCTTTATTAATATTAAATCATTATTAAAATATTGAAAAAATATTAAATCTTTATTAAAAGTTAGGAGAATTAAATAAGATCTGACTTCTATATACAAGATTTTATTCGATCAAACTAATCACTTTTTATCTTGAATATTATCGGTGATAATGGATTAAAGCTGTGCAAGTTCATTTATTGGATTATTATTTCTATTTTTTAAAAGAAATGTTAACTACTGGGCAAGGTACCACACGATATTTTTCTTGTCTCATCTATTACCAGTTTTAAAAAAAATCAATGAATAAAGTATCCGCAATATCTTATAAACAAAAAAATTTGCAATATTAACATCACCTTTTTTTTCCTTTTCTTTTTCGTTTCATTTTTATTATTTTGTTCTATTCACTTGTATTATTCTTCTCTTTACCCTCACTTGTTGTCATCCAGTATATAGTTTTTGCCCTGCTTGATTTACACTTAAATTGTCCCCGCCAACTAGTGGAAGCAATCAACCCACAAATATGAGAGAAGACGAACAAAAAAATCTTTTTCATCTTTGTATTTATAAAATTCTTTAAAAAATTCTATGGCAAAGAATTTCATGAAATTTTAATGAAGCATATGTAAGGATGAATCTTGTTTTAATTTTTTGGTTTCACATAGAATAAGAGTCATTGAAGTAGTATTGATATTTAGATATCGTCTGCATCACATTGCAAGTCATTTCGGGCAAAATTCTAAAGGCGAAAAAGGCTCGGAGCACACAATTGATAGAATGCGATTTCCAGCTGAGGTCATTAATTTCTTTTTTCTTAACAATTATTTATTAGAATATAAAAAGTTTTTAAGCTCACGAAGCAACTGCATTTTAGCTTTTGGCTAAGCCTATATATACTATGCTAAAGGAGTTTGTTGAAGCATCGATAGAATCTTTAACCATTACGCCCATCTCAAAATTGGCTGTAGGTAGAATGGTGCGATGGATAATCGTGCCGATGCTGAGGTTCTCTTCCATGCAGGAGTAAATCTGTCAAAAAATCCAGGTGATGCTGTCGATCCTGTTTTTCTATCGCCAAAGGACTCCCTGGGATATTGCCCAATGGAGCGATTTGAATCGTCTCTGCTGAGAACAAGGGAAGCGATTCGGTCTTCTGCCAATCGAAAAACCTTAAAATCCATTAAAAAATCGAGTTGATGCCGTCTCAGTTATACTGAAATGGCTTTTTTTGACAAAAAATTTTCACCTTAATTAATAAAGCGAGACTAATCAGAAAAGATAAGAGCTAATCCTATATTACTGTATTATTACTGACAATAATTAAGTTTCAAAAGTTGCCATGTAAATTTTAGGTGCATTTTTTTAGATCCAACTTATGGCATATAACGCAGATTTGTATGAGAATTTTACGGACGCAATGACAAAACCACATGGCCTTCTTGCAATTTCAATTATAGTAGATGTAGGATTTCTCGTTGCGTTTATCAAAAGTCGAAATCAATAAAATTACTTAGGAATGAAATGAAACGATGTTAATTTTTGATAAAACGAATATATATATATATATATATGTACAACGAAAACAAGTTGGCGCTTATTCAGAAAAGTTCTAATATTTTATTCTTTTGCATGAAAGTAAGAGCGTACCTTTACACTTAATTTAGATCCACCATGGATTAAATTAGGTGGCTTTTTACCTTAATTAATGGAGAGAGGCTAACCAGAAAAGAGGAGCGTTAATCACTTCTTTGCTATATTTTGGACTGAAAATAATTAAGTTCCAACTACCTTACTGAAAATCAAAAAAAAAGATCATTTGAGATATCCAAGAAAAAAACATTTGCAGATTGGTAAAGTAACGAATTCGGAACTTAGGCGACTTACAATAGCTTCACAGAGCATAAAATATAAAGGCAATTTTTTAAAATCATTTTTTGATTTAATTAATTTAATTGCGAGGAAACAAAGTAAGATATTTGGAAAAAAAGAGATGCTGGAAAAAAGAAAAATTATGTAAACGAAAATAAAAAAATTCCGAGCACGAACACAATCAACTTTTATTTAGGATCAAGAGCAATAATCAAAAGTTTCAATCCTTATGGACTCATGCCACCTAACTCATCATATATGACTTATTCTGGTTCCCTAACTTTTCCTGGTTGTTACGAAACGGTTACCTGGGTTATTATGAATAATCCTATATATATTACGAAAGAAGATGTGAGTTTTCAAATTCGCATATTTACCAAAATTATTTTTTATTCTTTTACAGTAAACATAGATTATCAATTCTTTTATAAATTAAGACTACCGGATTGCATAGTGCAAATATCATTGCTATAAATAATTAAATGAATAAATTGATGCAAAATAAAAAAACCAATTATCTAGTGATTATTTGATGAAAACGACAAAAATAACCAGTTTTAAGCTAGAAATCTGGAATAATTTGCAACAAACTGATGCAAAACAAACAAATCCAGTTTCAATGGCGCATAATTATAGGCCTTTAAAGCCTTTAAATGGCCGTTTAGTGCGAACTAATATCAATATTAAGTTTAAAGTAAGCTTATTTTCTTGAATCTAGTACATTTTTAAAAATATTTCTTATTGAATTCAATAAACTTTGCGATCTATAAAATGAAGTGCGATGAAAAAGCCAGAAAGAGAGATATCGAAAAATTGTTGTAACATATGATTAATTGCTATAGTCATACGTAATTGCTAGATTTTTGATAGTGTTCAGTGTCTTCGTAGGTGGTTTCGTTCATCAAAAATCCTCTTGTAATTATTACCCCAAAATTGGATAATTAAATTTTTACAACAAATCAAAATAAAATTTAAAATTGATAAAAGAGCAATATTGCATTGTAAATAAATAATACAGAGTGATAATTGATAAGGATAGACGGTGAAAACAAGAGAAGATCAACCGACATCGGTTGATGAAGATCTTTGTCCAAATTTTTCGGTTAAAGCTATTGCTAATTATAGTTGATTATTTCAAGGCCACCTCTGCCAAATATTGTCTTTGCCAGCTATTACCTACTATTTGAGCTTTGAAAAATTTTCTTCCCTCTATATTACTCCCTTTGAGCACAGAATATAAAAGACGATGATCGAGCGGTGTATGGCTTCGGCCAGGACTTCAAACACCACAGTTCCTTCCCTAAAACTTTCACGATGATCTGAGATAGCTTATAGAAATCTCGAAACAAATTTTTTATTTTATTTATACTCGGTATTACTTTTGCAGATGAATTCACCTGAAACGTGCTTTAATAAATATGTCGATATGGGCTATAAATTAAATCCAAAATGGACGATTTATGATAATATTTCTGATCAAAAACGACTTTTAATGGCATCGAAGGAGCGATTTTTTGAAAATAGCAGTAAATAACGTTAAATGGGCAAATGGATAATGGTGGGATTTTTGATTATTGATCAGCCAGATTTTAACTGTAATATAAATGTAAAAAGTATTCAGTTGTATATAAAGTATTTCACAATATTGCCGGAATTCGTCTAATAACAATAAAACATTGCTTTAAATTTATTTAAATTTATTTATATCTTAATTCATTCATCTTAATTATAAAAATCAAAGAGCGCCATAGGCATTTTGGACTCGCTATGCGTTTTGATTATGTGCTTAAATATCGTAGTTCGGTTGCTATCTCTTGACTTTGGGCTTAAGATAGTCAAGAGATAGGTTATTTTCTACGTGTTACCAATTCTATTTGGGTCTTAAGCTTATCGAACAATGATTGTCAGTGAATTGATAGCTAATATGCTGGTTGCCCGATGATTTTAATCAAATATTTTCTCTGATATCAAAACAAGAAATTCTTGTTCCTCGGCAAGACGAAGAAGGCCTTTCCATTTACAAGTACCCTGATGCCATGATAATAATCACAAAATTCATTGTGTCCTCTACCGACAATGACCATGTCTTTGAAACTTGAGTTCTTCGAAACTTCGAAAGTGCTGAAAAAAGTTATCGTTATCCTTAAATTTCTTGACCTTTTGCACTCATACGTTCGAACTATCGTTTAACCATTAATGCTATCTTACAGAAACAAAGAAATGAGATAATATATGTACATGTATATGTATAACTTGCAATTTGCATTGGAACATACAATCCATCTTTAAAATTTTAATAGAAATTGATGAGGTAAGAATTAACAGTAATAAATAATTATGGTAAAACCTTGGAAATCCAGTGAAATATATCCAAAGATCCACTGAAATATTAATTAATTTTTTTTGGCGTCGGCGAAAAGTTTCAATGGTTGTGCTATATTTGTTAAAATGAAACTCATTATTTCACCTTTATACTTTGGTAAGTTCTAATACTCGACTTTGTATGGATAATATGTGAATATTAATAAATAAACGGTATTAAAAATAAATATTAATGAAGAAATTATCGGATATAGCCGCAGGTCCGAAAGATCATTTCATTAAAATTTCATATTATTTAAATCTCCTTATAATTTAATTCTTAAGCAGAAAACCGATTCTGCTTGCTATCTTTATTTTAAGCCATTTAATTTTACTTCAACGTTCCATGTTTCGATTTAAGGCTTTTCAAAAATACAACCAAAAATTTCCAAGCTTTATTTTCAAAAATTTTTCGAAAAAAAAACAAATCAAACGGAAAATGCACCAAATGAAATAAGGGAAAAAATACCGATTCATTCGATGATAACAGCGAAAGTCTATTAGAAATAACCTAACAAATACTGAATACTATTTCGCATTGTGCAAACTCCATCTTTATACTTGTAATGGAAAAGAAATCTTTAGGGCCATTTTAGCTTGTCAATAAACCTACAATTAAATATTTTAATCGTTTTGCCATGAAATATTAAAAATTCATCAAAGACCTTATATTTATGCAAGAAAAAATTTGTAGAAATTTGATTTTAAGTTTAAATTATTTCTCTATTTTTTATACTTTATTATTTCATAGTGTTAATTTAATTTAGCCAAAGGAAGAATTTCAATTTAAGTGCATTAATTGGCCAATTTCAAACGCACACAATGTTTTCTTGGTGCGAGGATTTATATAAAGTAAAATTAATAATTTCTTGATAGATGAATTTTTTTAGGCCATTTAAATCCAAGCAATCCATGAAACATAAGGAACTCGAAAAATAACTGCCATCAAAGGAAAATGTTCCCAAACGAGAAAGAAAACTTTTTCTCCCGTACATTAAACTCTGTTAAGTTATCGAGATGATTTTTTATTGCGTCACATTTTAATCTGATGGTTTTGCAAAAGCAATAAAGTCACTTTCAAGAATTTCCAAGTATTCCATCTTCATCTGCTTCTCCTCTTAACGCTATCTTAATTACTGATTAGGCTGGTTCCACTGGCTACGAGGCAAGAGTTACCAAGCTGCGGTCCGATACCATCGTCGACAGTAATAGAAACCATTCCTTTTTCCATCATCTAAGTCCATATATTGCTGGTCCACCTATACGTTTAGAATTTTTCCTGACTGTATCCGTCGAGGAAAGATTAGCCCACCTCGTTTTCGAGGCCACCCAGGGTTACTTTAGCAAGTAACGAAATTCTTGAAATTCTTGAACGAAATTCAATTCTTGAGGCGACGAGGAACATGTCCCAACCGGCGAAGATGACGCTCTTGATGGTACTGTTATTCACTTGAATAAGTGCTATTTGAAAGAAAGTGGATGCAGTCATGTGAGATTTTATCCACTCGACGAGATGTAAAATGTACCTTAGATAAATCTGTCAAAGCCAGAGATAACTTCCACTCTCATTGGCCATGTCTTGCAATCATATAGCAAGATCGAACGAATCACAGCTATCATGGCTATGTGGATGCGGAATTTCGTTTTTATGGTGATTTCACGAGGGCTTCAACTGCTTTATAATATCTCAACATAAGAAGAGATCAAATGATAATTTTTTGTAATTTTGTCCGCTGATTATCTTCTTTTCGTTTTACCCTGATCTTATTTTCCAGCCTACTTTTTCATGGGCGAATTGTATTGCTATTCTTCTCGATTTTATGCCCCAGCATTTCGAGAATTAAAGTGGCTGTGGCACATACCAATTTTTTCGCAAAAAAATAGTGGCAGTAAGAATTATTGCGAGGTCTCTATTTGTATCTTCGATTAAATTATCTGGTGATAATCACGGAGCTTCGATAACCGGTCTCGATAATTAATTAGCCATTTTATTTATGATTTTCTGCCTCATTTCAATTATTTTGTTTTGTAGCGGAAGTAGTGGAAGGCAATTTCCAGCTTCCTAACTTGTAGCATGTCTTCTTTCCTCTTCTTTCTGAATGTTCTGAGTCTGGGGTATAGCGCAGAATTAATCCATCTCCAACTGAAAGATTAGTTTTCCCTTTCTTATGTTGAAATATTATTGAGCCGTTAATTAATTGTTTGTTTCTCAATTAGTGAAGATATCTTTTTTTTATCCACAGCATCTTCATACGTTTTATAGCCCATGTGATTAGGTCTATTGTAACATTCCATCAGTTCCAGATTATTATGTCTCCTCCATGTAAGGTTTATTCCAATAGCTTTTTTGACGCCAAATTCCACAATAACTGGCGCTTTTCCAGTTGCTCACTTGTTATCAGATAGCCCTTGTCTTTTAGATTATAATGTCGAAATCTTTGCATATTCTTTATTTAACGGGCAACATTCTGTTAATATACCAAACTAGATGATCTAAAATTTTTTAAAATTAGGTTTGTTGTGCTTTTTAAATAGGATTTTGGTAGATTTATCCTAATTACAGGATAAAGCAGTCGGGTGGCTCCATTGTGGGCAAATAAATATTTTTCCATATTTCCACTGATGAACGCAGATTTTGCGCATTAATTCAGAAAGTTTTGATTTTCCATCACTTTCGGTTTGAAATATTCTTTGAATGTTACGACATCCAATAGACTGAAATTATTGAAGCCTGTAATACCTCAGTTAAGTTTTCTTATTCGCACTAATCAATACTGAATTATCTCCTGATAATATATAGTGTCTTCAGTAAAATAATTTTAAACAGAAATTTTTTCCATGTATTACTTTTTTCATTGCAATTTTCTTATTCATCCCAGCTATCTACAAAATCCCTCGTCAATTATGAATTATAATCATTAATATATTTGTGAAGTATAGGTTAATAACCTTTTCCTTTGTATAAGAAGATATAACTAACTTAGAGGCTACCATGTCTGGTCAGGTCCTCTGCACTTCCTGTTCCTATGATAAGAAATGCTTATCATAGAGTTATTTGGGGATAAGAATACTGGTAGAGTTCCAGCAGATTTTTTAATGACAGACTTATTTCGCTCGAATTTTGATGCCGAACGAGGAAGGCAATAAACTGAGCAACTGTCATTGGGTTATTCTATCTCAAATTTAACCTGTAAAACATTTGCTAGTATTAAATATCTTTATTGATAACCTGTTTCTTATGAGAGCAAAATTTATGAATATCAATGAAAGCCAAATAAAGATGTCCAGAAATATAACAATAGTCCAAACAAAAAAATATTAAGAAATACAATTTTGAATTGTTATTAATAACCACCAATAAAAAAAATCAAATGGCAATGCCCAAAGATATATTTTTCACGGAAAAGTATTAATATTTTTTGATACGTGATCAATGGCGTCACTCACGATAGATAGTTCTTGTTTAAGGCGTTCTATACTTTTCAAAATATCCTCGACATTTTTTATAACATTTATGCATTTTGTTATGGGATCATATGTGATCGTATGAGATCGTTTCATTGTTCTCGCATAATCTCTGAAAACTTGCGATATAACTAATTTATTATAAATACGATTTAGTCCGTACTATTAGCTAATTTATGTTCCTACTTCTATTACATTATATTAGCCATCATCATCGGCTAATTCACTCTTGTTTCTATGTCTCATTCTGGGTGACCTCTATAAAAAATTATATAAAACTGAGAATTAATCCCATAATTCCATAAAAATCTATTCTATCAATTGTATGCCGAAAGAGTTTATAAAATAATTTTTAGTAATATTAATATTTGTTTTGATAATTATTCTCTAAAAAAATCAAGAAATCACAAATCATAAAAAGATTCAGAAAAAAGTTATCCAGGCTTTACAGTTTTTTTATTTATTTCTGATCACACCTTAATTTTTTTATTGCATCAAAAATTGAGTTTGCGACAAAATAAGTTGGTTGATAATCAGCATCATTAAATTTTTGAAGTGCTGTTACTTCAGGTTCAAATTTTACATGGTTAGGTTTGTCCGAGCATGCATGCTACAAAAAAGTTTGGCATAAAAGCAGTGTAAATTTAAAAAGACCAACAAATTTTAAATATAAGTGGATTAAGCCTAAAGGAAATCCCTTATAGAAAAATAACCATACTAGAACATCCAACATTCTTTTTTCTTATTTAATTATCTAATTGTGAATGCAGATGGAGAAATATTGAATTTGATTTTCTGGTAATCTAAAGATGAAAAAAATGTAAAAGCCTTCGGCTTATCGGAAAATATCATTCAACCATTAATTCTCCATAAGATGATAATAAACCAGCTCCAATAGCTTTAAGTTGTCCATTCTCATAGCACAAACCGAATTCTATTATAAACCAATAAACCTTAAACAATTCTTCTAAAAATTAATTAGTCATCTGAGAAACACAAAAGCATTGACTGTATAATTAATTATAAAAAAATAAACAATCTCTGCAACTCACAGTTAATAATTTTAAATTAAATTCCTGGTGAAATATCCTTTTATATGAATCGTGCGGTCAGAGTTGCCTCTGGAGATCATGCAACATATTGTTGAATGGCTTTAGTATCGAGTCGATACCGAAGTAGTATCGGTATTTATCGGTACTTAAGCTCAGTAGCGCCCAAAGTGATCGTCTACTCATCCTTATGAGCCGACTATGCCTATAGCTTATGATATAATTAAGAAAATATCACAAGCTAACTGTAGCTAATTGTTCTATTTGCTCATCAGAAGCTCCTAGCGAAAGAAGACCAATTTCTTGCGAAAATTGAGCCATAATTGGATCAGCGAACATTGGACAATGACCGATAAATTCATGGATTAAATCAGGTTCTGGACTATGGTGTGGCGATTTCGGATGTCTTAGGTAAAGAGTTGTCTAAAAAGAAATTTTTTTCACATAAAATTAAGCATCCATCTGAAATTTAAATCAGTTTTTGGAGAATCGAAAATTAAATCTCAATCTGATTCATCATAAAAATTAAAAAATAAATTATAAGGAAACAAATAGCAGCCAACAAACCTGAAATACTCGAAATGCCAAACTTGCTAAGAAATCTCGTGCACTTAGAAGGCCTGCACATGGTCGAAGCATGAACCCAGTTTTTTCTAGAAATACAATCTAAGAGATTTTTTACTGGCTTAAAATTATCAGAAAGTGAATAGCGAAAGTATATATCTTATAAGTCTATAATATATGTTTTGCAATTTTATTAAATAATAAAAATTTTATAAATAAGCCAAATTTTTCAATTTCTATCAATAAATGATTATTCATATGAAAATTTGCTATTCAAAAAAAAATTCTGTTGTTAAGTTGAAAATTACTTTGCAAATAATTATTGACTTCCCTAAGATTAGGAATTCGATCAGGAACGAAAAGCCCTGTATTCTCCAAATCAGCTAGGTTATGGCGGTATTCAGCACATGCATAGGTCTCATATAGACTTTTGAGCTTCGAGAAAACAATCTTCCATGTTTTATGTTCTTCTTCAGTGTATTCAATTTCAGGTAAAGGTTGATCGCTACAATTTGTATTAAGAAATGAAATTCAATAGCCCATAACATAAGAATACAATTATTTATATTAGATAAAAAGAAAATTGACTATACTGACTATCTATATGATTTAGCGATTTCGTTCAGGTAAATTCGACGTGAGATATAATCCTTGTCACCATAACCCTAAAAATAAATAACCAATTAAGTCGGATTTCTGGGGAAATATTTGAAAAAAATCTAGCGAAATTTGTTATGAAGAAAGTTGAGCGAAAAGTTACTTCGATTAGATGAGGTTGTCGCGGTTTCGACTATTACCGGAAGGTAAATATAGCGAAACGTGTCATTAAAAATTAATATCGGATGAGGGCCTGCATATCATTTCCTTACCAAAGTTTTAATGAAATAAATCATAACAATGAAAATAGAATTGTAAAATAAACCGGGTGACGTGGATCGGTCGTTGGCTCATATTTTATCACGCACAAGCTGCATTTATCGAGATCTGATATGTAATGTGGAAACCATACTTCTAAACTACATTAAGGTCATGGACAATGAGTTCGATTACCACCATTCTTATTTTTTTAATCTTCTTGTGCAGTCTTTATTTCTCGATTCATTTCCTTTTCTAAATTTCTTACTTTGCTCTTATTCTTACAAAATTATTTACTTCACACTAAGTGAAGCCATCTTATAAGAAATTACTTTATCTACCTTCCTTATTCAAAGCATCAGTTAAATCAAAAAATTGAATTCTTTCTAAATCGTGCTTGGAATCGATTTGATTCAGAATTTCGAGTAAATCTGCGATCGCAATGTTTTTACATTCGACGTATACATCGAAATTATCTAAAATGTTAATAATTAATTCTTAAATAGTGAACGCAAAAGTTCTAAAACTTTTAGCATTTAATATTTATCATTTCTTGAAATTGCACTTCAACTGTTATTCAACGGAAAGTGCTGTTCAAAAAGCTATGATTGATATCTTCTGATAAACGTTGGCATTACATAATGGCTCTTTCGTTTCATTTCTTAGTCTTGCTTCTAAATGTTTTATAGCGATTTTCGAGGATTCAAAAGAAGATAACAATAATTCAAGAAGTGCTCCAGTTTTTCCTGAAAAAATAGTTTTCGACATTTTTTTAATAATAATTAGTCATGAAAATGGAACGACTTAGAAATTCTTTGGCCAGAATTTGTTAACATGGAATAAATTACTTTAGTACCGAATATAGAATATACCGAAAAAATTTAGATTTAATAATTTGCCGATTTTTTAAAATTTTTACAAATTTTACAATTTCAATTAATTTTAGGAAACTGGCTTAATGAGACAACGGTAAGGAGTATTACCATTACTAGTTAATACCACTGCAACTGATAACAATTCGTCATATTTTCTAGGGCTTAATGCCTCAATTCCTTCATCGTTTATTTTGTTGATAATCTAAAAAATACGAACAATCTTTTAAATGATTTATGCAACTATAAGGAAAATTCTTTATAGCTCAATTGAATAATTTAAGTATTTTTGGAATAGCATTTTTGGAAAGAAAGTTTACTTACAGAAATATTTTTGTATTCATTTTTCAGTTCATTTCGATACTTCAATATGTTTTTATACTTAATGCCTTCGTTATTAATTCGTTCGATGCTAGCTTGTCGTGCTAAGTTATTTCGATGGTTTGACAATGGCATTTCGAAAATTTAGAATTAAAATAAATTTCCTTTTGAGCACTTTTTCACAAATAATTAAATAACGATTTATTGACGGTTTATAAAAAAAACACCCAATCGGAAGTTTTTTCAATCGCCTTAGGCATAGTTCTTTTATCAGTCAATTATTGAAATACACCTCATAGAATGAAATTTTCAAGTCAACGAGCAAAGAATATGAATTATGCACCATAGGCCATATGATTACCCCTTCGATCCCGAAAATTTCCAAACCTAAATCCATTTCAAGGCCAAAAACATTCCCATTTACCATGATTTTCGATTCATACAAAAAATCTATGGCTTCAATCGTTAAAAAAATTATCATTTGCAGGAATTTTTCTTTCATTGCTTCTAATTTCTTCTGTTTTCTGGCTGTTTTGCTATTTGGGTGCCAATGTATCGAAAGAAGTAATAAATTTTTATCAAAACTTTGGGACAGCACTTGAATGAATTTTTGCCAATTAACATCTTTAAAATCGTTGTAAATAGCCGATTTAGCTTAAATTGAGGAAACTGGAAACGAAAGTTGCTTATTTTTTCCACAATACAATTTACATTATAAAAACCCTCCATTTATTATCAGAAGGGAAATCCAGGCTTTAAATTTATGAGATTTAATATATTTTGATACAGAAATACAGAAATAAATATTTTTATTGTTTGATTTCGAATTTATTTAAAATTTGCATATGCATAATGAGCGGGCATATAAATAATAAAATGATACTTTCTAGCAATGGTATGTCACCTAAATGAAAATAAAAAGCATAAAAATTTTTCAAAATTTTGAGAAAACTTATGAGAGTCATCTATGCTCGTCTTTTAAATTATTATTCTCAAAAACACCGCAACTTAGTGGTCTAAATTTGCTATTAAAGCAGTAAAAAAATTCAAATGGCATACAATGATTTCAAAGAAAGAGACAAAATTTCTTCACTGGTTCATAGGTGTATCAAATTTTTAAAAGTGGAAGGAATAAGAGGTTTTGATTTATTTTATTCACTCGAGCCGAGACTGAAGCGATGACGTGCTTCTTCCGAAGCCCATCATATCGAAAGAAATGATTGTTTCCGCCGCATTATTCAATATTTTCATTAGCAACAAAAAAACAACGTAATGTGATAGAATGTTTTTCCGGAATACAATCACCGGAAGCTTCGTTTTCATAAACCGCCGAAACGCCGAAAAATGAATAGCCATTTTTCACGTTTACGGTAATATATTTTATCGTATAAAGCATGGAAATCATTGAGAAATCAGTGCTTAATTTAAACAATTTGAATCGTTTTTGCTTATTCACATCCTTCAGTTGAAACATGTGCAATTATTTTCTGGATCGATAATCATTTTATATATGTTTTCGCCAATTTTTTTCTCAAACTTATCGAACCATATTCTTCTATATTTCACCTCATTATCATGCAAATTATGCTTCTGAATATTCACTGCGAAGCTCTAAGCCTGCTGGAAAGAAAATGGATAAAAAGTGGTTTTGCATGTTAAATATGATCACGAAAAGTAATCCAAGCCCCAACGATAATTATGAGCAATTAGAAACTATCCCAGGCTTCCCACTAAATTTATAATTTCAAACTTGGATAAAACCATGTAAAATTAACAAAATTTAATCAATCCCATTAAAAAATTTTTTTCCTTAAAATTTTTTGGTGAATATATAAAATTCAAAAATGGTGTGTAAATGTTTTAAATACTTTCTAAAATACTAAGAAATCTTAAAAATGTGATTTAAAATGTGTAAAAATAAGTAAAAGCAAGAATTTAATACAATAAAGATGTGATAAAAATATGTATTTTGTATTTATTTTCATGATCAATTCATAAGTAAAAGTAAAAGTGCAAGTAATAGTTTTTGGTTCGATGTTTTATTTTTTCTTTTATTTCAATAGGTAGTTGCATAGCATAGTTGCAGAAATATTTTTTCCATTTTTCCATATTTGTGACTTTAAAACATTTTCTTTCAATATCATTTTGCAGAATCCGATTTAAATCCGATTTCTTGAAAATTATAAAATTCTCACTTTTTCTTCTTTTTTGAAGCAGAAATTCAGACGAAAAATTTAATGGTCAAAATCTTTCTTAAAGAATTATTGCAAAGCTGTTTTGCTCCAAATCATATTTCGAGAATTTTAGAACTGTATTGTTTGATTTAAAAGTGTAAAGAAATAAATACTACTTGAAAAAATAAATACTACTTCATGGGAAAAGTTTTGATGAAAATTAAATAAATCCGAATAAATAAATTCGCGTTTGCTATTGAAAATGATTCGACCAGGCAATTTTTTTTCAAATAATCGCTTAAAAATATCGCTAATTTTTCAAGAATTCAGAAGTATGGCTTCTTAAATACTCGAATTACGAATTTTGAATCGTAAATTTTCTATAATTTTCCAAGCGATAGTAGACTTAGAATATTCAAATCTTCAAATCGCCTTCACTTATATGCTTGTTTTCACAATTTCAGAACCAATAATTTATCAGGTAAGCAACTTCAAAATTTCAATGAGTTATCAATAAGTTAGTGGTTAACAATATTTTTGGTTCAACTTGCTTCATTATTATGGGGAATTTCGCTAGAGTTGTACTGAAATCACTCGACAAATTCAAGCGGATGACATTATGTGGACTTTTTTAATGAAGCTCCTACTAGAAGTAGTGACTTTACTCCATTCAGGCCACCAATAAATTGTTTTTATATTTTTACGATGGCATACTCATCAATGGTTAAATTGCCGATGGGCTTAACGATTTAGCCAAAGAAGAATGCCAATTGAAGTAACTTTTTTGTAACATGTTTAAATTACGCCAATTTAATGTTTATACTTCATCCGGTAATGATTCACCAGGATAAGAGCTTTAATTAGACTCATTCTACTTGTGAATTTATAAATTTTAAATTTATATTAAATTATAAATTTTAAACTATTTTCGAATAATTTTCTTGGAATGAAAATTTGTTATTTTAATGAAATGAAAGTACCGAAAAACTTCATTTAAAAGATTCAAAGTTTTGTATGGTATAAAAAAAACCTCCTCATTATCCATTCATTCATTCAATCATTCGTTTATCATTTATCTTAAACTGATAGGAATAAAAAAAAATCCAACTCAATCCAATTTTTAAACTTTAGAATGCCATACGAAACCTATGTTATTTACTAAACTTTTTTGTTTATGTGTAGAAATCCAGTGAAACTAAATATTAAATATGCAAAAACAAAGACATATCAAAAATATGGATCATTATATCGATGATTTATTTATTCGCTTCATTGCTTTTATGACATTTCAATTTCATGTTGGAGGATGGAAATTTTAAATGTTCCAGAAAGCTGAAGCAAAAAAATAAAATGTGTATGAAACCATTATACATAAGAACTTTACTTCCGTTGATCATCAGCGTATGCCGATAATAGAAGCAAAAAAATAAGCTTTTTCGATAATTTGAATAGCATTTGGCATAATTATGCTGGAAATTTACTAAAGCTTTTTCTTTGTTAGCGGGAATATCGGTCTGAAATGTTGATGAATATTATTTCTTTGATATTCTATTAAATAAGCCAAAAAAAATTGAAAAATCAAAAGAGATAATACAAGCTTGATAAATTGATTCAAGAAAATTTGAATAATCCTATGACAAGATGAATTATACAAGGATTGGATGATTCCGGAAACATACATCTTCTATCTTCAAATGAATTGACGGTAAGGCTATTTCTATTTCACCGTGGTTGCCGGTAGAGCAGAATTGGAGACGTAATGCATGAAGAACTTATAAGGGAAATCTCGATTTCTTTTTACTGCAAAATTTTATGCAGTACGAATGGATGAACTTTCGTTGACTTTCGTGAATGATAAAATAGTGGTTCTAGAAATAGAAATGCTATGCAAAAAATATTCTCTTGCATTTGCCTTTCATTTCGTAAAGAATCGAACGAATCATTGCCATATTCAAGCGCTTTTCTTTATTCGTTGCTTTTTTTTATCCATTCGTATTAATTAAATTTCCTTTTCCATTTTTTTTATTTTTCGCTCAAAAATTCGCTCCCAACAATCCACAATTTATTCATTTTTTATGTTTTGCAGATAGATACTAATTTCGAGTAATTCCTTACTTATTAATCAAACCATTTATGTTAATAATAATATTAATATTATCAGCAATATTAATATTCATAATAATATTAACAATATATTAAGGAAACGACTGCAATAATAAATCTGATCTAATGAATAAATAAGGAAGAAATAATTCTGAGTAAATTTTATTTTTAATGGAATATTTTTCTTTAAAATAAATTCCTGAAATTTCCGAAGAAAAACTTTTTCTTTTTGAATGCATCGTCGTAAAAAATTTCTTATCATACTAACAGCCAGTGGTGAATCGAACAGAAATGGAGACATTTATTTATTTTTTAGCCAAACTTTATTAGCTGATTAAGATTAATGCAATATAATAAATTATTCATTAAAAAACTAAATAAAACGCGTGAAAAACAATGCGATTTGAATCGAAAAAAATCTATCTTTTGTTTTGAAAATTTATTGATGAAAAAATGATTTTTCGAAAAATTTTTTTTTCACAGTAATTGAGAGATTTGATAAGTTAACTATTTCAAAATTTCATGAATAGTAACTTGTATTGTTGCTTATATTTGCTCATATGACTGAAGCCATTAAGAGAACTCTTGGCACACTGCTCAGCCAATAAACTCATTTTATTTCTCGACTATTTCCTCCTAATGATGTGTTATGTGCGAAAAATATTGTTTTCACATATATTGAATGTCTGACTGATCTCAAATTTCATTATTTCGAAAATTCCTCCAGTGGAAATATTCGCAGATAGACATTTGACAATGGATTCTATCAATCACATCTTTTTTAATTAAATATTAGGAATATTAGGATTAAGTAAATTTATAAATTATCAATTGCTTAGCTAAAATTAAAAATCAGTTGAATTTTTATGATTTCAAAGGTAATTTAGAAAAAAACGTCCAGACAATCTTCGCAAAAAAATCGAAAAAAATATTTTTGAAAATATTATATAATTTCAGAGAAAAATGCCAAAAAATTTTTTAATGAAATATCCTCGAAATTAATGAAATAAAAATAGAAATAATGAAAAAATCACTTTAGATGATGAAAATTTTCTTTTTGCATATTAACCCTAAAACGTATTTTGAATAAAATAAGTAAAAATTGGGCAGAAAAAAATTTTAAATATTTGTGGATCATCTTCTTAAAATATCGAAACTGCTTAGGCTTTATTTATGCCTCTTTGAATCTTTTTCTTGCACTTCGAAAACTTCCCCTGAAAATTCGATTTATTCTTTTCATTGGTTTGTTTTAAGAGCATTCGTGATTATGTGTACAAAGTTTTTGTGGATAAAAATGTACCATTCTACGCGATATAATGAAGAATTTCCAGGAAGATTTATGGAATAAATTGGATTGGTTCCTACAAAAATATAATCAGCGATAAATGAAATAATAGTCGATAATTTTATTAATTTAATGATAATTTCTTATTTGCTTAAGAAGATTCCCCATTTTGCATTTCTACTCAATCGTTTCTTTTCTTGATTTGTTTATTCGATTAATTCGCATAAGCTTAATTGTTTATTTGTCTTTCGTTGATCAAGGAATCTAAAATTCTTTTCTCATACATTTTAAGCCATAGTTTTAAGGCTTAATCAAGCGTAAAATAAATTTACATCCGATTGTTAATTTATTTAAAGTCATTTTTATCTAAGTTTTTTTAAAGTTTTTTGAAAAGATTTTTTGTAGATTTCTTTATTTGTTCAATCAAAATTTGACTAAAACAAGGAAAAAAAAATAAGGTAAAGGTAAAAATCTTAAACAATTTTTTAAAAATATTTTTGCGATAAATAAATATGATTTTCATTGATATTTTTTTTTCGGGGAATTTCGGGGAAGCGATTATTGGAAGAGAATTATTTTGATTGATAAGCATAAGTTTTTTACGCTTCACTTATAAAAATCACTCGCTAAGTTTATAAAAGAAATTTTATTTTATTTCCCTACCTCTCACAGATTTCTTTATTTGCTCTCTGGATGACTCTAAAAGCTAAAAGCTAATCTAATCAAATCTTGAAGCAATTCAAATTTCTCATATCTTAAAGCACTCGTGATGAGTATTCTAAAATTATCTTCTTTTCAATTCGAATCCTTAAGGAAAAAAGCTATTCAAATTTCGAGAATTGTTTTAGACAGGAATTTCTAATTAAATTAATGGTTAAACGATGTTAAATGAAATATAAATCCCTAAAATTATTTTCTGTTCGTTTCGTTCATTTCATTTTGAGAATTAATCTTCGGATTTTGAAAATTCGAATGTACAATTTTTTCTATTGGCAATAAGCTTTTTTCTTTTATTTGTCAGATCTTAAATTTGTCAAATCTATTTTCTCGCATTTTTATTCGGCGAAATATTTAAGAAGTTTCTTTCATTTTCGTTCGCGTAATTTTAGTTGCTTTCACCAAAAGTCAAGTGTTTTTTTAATTAGAAGTATTTTTTGGATCATTTTCAGTTGTAATTAATTAATTTTGAAAGTGATTTTTAAAAGTTTGAGAAATCGGAAGTGCGTTTCTGTTTGTTTGCCGCGGAAAATTTTGATTTCAATAGGTATTCGAGGTTCGCTTAAAAGTTCAAATTGTTTTTTCATAAGATTCTAAGGACAATCATTATTATTATAATTTTTAGATGAATTTATTGGCAAAACACTTCTTTGAATATCAGTCGTTTATTAATTTGCCTCATAAAGCTGTGCAACTTCACAAAACGGTATATATTCCTTTGCATAGGAAAGAGCGTCATAATATCCGTTATTAATAGTTGATGGCTTGAATCCTAGAGAATAGCCGTAGAGATAAGCTTATCAAATAGTGCAAATTCTTTGCTTCTTTCTTAAAATGATGAATGATATATTTAACTTATGATTTTCAGATGAAAATTTACCAATAATCCATAAATTAAATTATTTAATTAAGTATTCAATAATGTCTAGTGAGAAAAATATTTAATGTGAAAGTGCAAAGGAATCTCGCACTTCCATTAATCCACAAAACCCCAAAAAAAAGAATCTGTAAGATGTGAAATAATGACTATGTTCAGCCTCCATCGTCAGCAGGATCCGATCAATCAGCTTCTTGGGCACCAAAATCAATGACGAAGGCTGGAAAGAATCAAGCAGCTATAGGGGCTAGAGCAAACAGAAATAATATTGATACAAAATCGACAGCACATAGACATGGACGAGCTGGGAAGCATGAATTTCGTGAATGGGGTGATAGACATGGAGGTGCGACTCAGCTTGGCCTTCCTTCGATATTATTTCTTTCATTAATTCATCCTTATTGATATGAAATCGATCTCCTTCTTCTAACAGATTTTTGACTTAGTTGGTCCGGCAAGATATTAGGCTTAAGGCCTCTTAGAATCTTTTCGTCATTTAGGAATAGAAGTTTCATTCGGTCCTCAGCAAAGATTTCACTGTAACAATATCATTACCCTTGTATTTTATTTTATTTCACATGAAAATTATTTATAAGGGTGATAAATTTTAACTCTTAAGATGAGAAACAAATTGAGCGATTAATTTCGCATCTTCGCACGCAATTTTATATCAAAAATGAAATCTTAAAGATTCAAGCTAATTTTTATAATAATTTTTTCATAATTTGAAATTTTAAAGAAAAAGATTTACCTGAAGTATAATATGAAAATATTTATAGAGTTAAAACCGGAGAAAATCGCACCACATAAAGATGCTCTAACGAAATTTTTATCAAACGAAAAGGCATCAAGTCATCGAAATGTTTTTGAATGTGATTTTGAAGACCGAATATTTGAAGAGGAAGAAGAATCATTTACTAAAAATATAATAAGGATATCTAGAAAATCCGAGCTTCATGGCTATATGGTGTCACAGTCAGTAAGCTTTCAACGATTCTTATAATTTCTAATAAAGAAAATCATTTATCATATCTGTTTTTCAGAAGTTTTCTAGAAAAATTTTTGAGAAAAAAATTCGTTTATGATTATTCATTAATGTTACGATTAATACCGGCAGATATTTGTTCAATACCAGAAAATTCGAAAATTTGTACAATGTGGTTAGATTTGCTAGTCCTTTCAAGTGACCGATCGCATTTCTGTGATGTTGTCGTCTTCTCTTTTCTGAAAATCTTTTTTAACTTTTTTGCTGCGAAAGCTCGATATCTCACAATTTTTGGGAAGAATCTGGAATTTCTTTTGTCGAGAAACTGCAAATTTCTTCATCTTTTGAAATGATTCATGTTATTTGTTGGTCTTAAAATTTTTTTCACGATATTTTAGATGAGTAAATTCGGTTGTGAAGCTCTAATTATACTAACATTTGGTGCACAGGTTCAGTTCCTAACTGTAACTGTCAAGAAAATTAAATCTCTACCATTCAATAATGGTTAGTTTAGTTACTTCAAATTTTCTTTGGCTATAATACCATTTGTCGTACATTTCTTTATCCATTAATATTTGATGCTTAAAAAATTTTTGTTTATCTGCGTGATTTTTTCTTTATAAGATTTATGAATACGTTTTTTTCAAGCGCAAGGGGATGGAATAGATTTTATTTATATATATATATATATATATAAATATTAATATCCCATGTGTGCTAAAAAATCCCATATGTATTAAAAAAGAATATTGGATTTTTGTCCTAGAAAGTTTGAAAAATTAAAATGGAATGAAAAATAACTTGTTGAATAATTTGTTCAATAATTTTTTATGTTACGCGATGATTTTTTTATCAGTAAAGTAAAAGTGTTAACAATATAAATAACTTTTTCGACTTATTTTATCAACCTTTACTAAGAAAATTTCGATCAAATTTGATCAGATCTGATCTGAAGAATTTCCTAAACACAATCAGTGGACGAAAAAATAAGTATTTGTAGGCTCATTTGCAAAAATCATGCTTTTTGAAGGAATACATTTATTAGAGCAAAAGCAAACAAGTGGAATTGTTGCATCAAAATACAATCGGATGGTGAATTCAACGAGGTGCAGATTATTTGTTAAAAATTTCGTTTTTTTTACAGTCGGCTGAAACTATGCGATTAAATCTGCGATAGGCGATACAAATATCTAAAATTCAAATTGATATAATAAATATGTATAATAAGTATTTGAGGACTTTTTGTCTGTTTTATAATTTGAAATGTTCTAATGAAAATTTTAGCTCTTGGGAAAAAATCGAGAAGTCAAACTATATGTCGCCACAATTCACTAGCAGTAGCGACACAACATTTTCTGGATCATTTTTATTTCACATGTCACCACAAATGTTAGACAAATATCGTATCATTATTGAGGTAAATTTACTGAAATGAATCATTATAAAAATTTTAGCAGTACTTTTATTAAAATTTCTTTTGAATTATAATTTTCATATATAAGAAACAAAACAATTTTCAAGGTTTTATTCTAAAATATTGAATAGCATGAAAAGGTTTTTTAGAAGAAAATCAAGTGAAACACGATCATTAAAATGTTTTCCATAATCGAAACGTTGACGCTTATCGATGGTTTACTTTAGGATAAATTGTAAGATAGCAAACATCCTTACTAATAAGTTTCAATGGATTTTCCCATCTTATTATACTATTTAAATTTGTTACTGAAGAAAACCAGATTTTTTCGAATTTGCGGGGCATGATTTGCTCTGAAAATTGATAAAAGCTAAAATTTAATTAAAATAAGCTTAAATTTTAGTTTTTTAAATATAAAAGAAAAATTTGATTGATGCTACGATGGGAATAAGATCGGACAAATTTTAGAAATCGGCAAATTAAATTTTTCAAACGTTTCAAAACAAAAATTACATCAAATTGATCTATCACAATGTGCTCAAACAATTCGAATTCATGTCTGTCTGGGCTTAATAAAATTTTTTATTTCAAAGCCATCTGATATGGCATTCTATTTTTTGGAATTAAATATTGTTTTTCATTTTTCTCTTCACAACAAAGAACTACTTAAATTAGGCTTTATTCGTTAAAGCTTGCCCAGATGGTTGATTTTGGAAAAACTATGTTAGCAGCTAGCAAGTACTATTCACTTTCATATTCGACTTCTTATACAGTTCGTATGATATAAATTGCCTTTTGATATCGTTAAACAATTCCCCAATTTCCTAGTTTTTTCTTCAATTTCCTAGTTTTTAATGTTTCAATTAAAATTTTTTCGAATATTTTACTTCCATAAAAATAAAATATTTTTAAAAAAAGAATTCATTCAATGATTCATTCAAATGAACATTTGAGGCTAAATTTTCTACAAAATTAATTTGAACTGAAATATTTTTTATTTTAAAAACTATTCCTTTTATACAATGCATTACAATTTATAAATTTCAAGCTTGCAACTTGAAAAAGTGCTAAAAACTTGAATGAAGCAATGGTGGCGAATCGCAGATTTAGATGGAGTATTACATTTCTAAAAATTTTGACAACTTTAAAGCTGAATAAATTTGTTGAATTGACAAAAGACTTTTTTCAAATTTTTGTGAGGAATGCTCGTTATAAGAAAAGAAATGCTTAGCCCTCATTTTTGATTAAATTGGCTCTTCTGGCTATTAGTGGAAATTTTTGCTAATTTGAGGAAACGTCCATTGGGCCTGTGATGCAAACCTTTGCCTCTCAGTGCAGTTCGATGCGCTAATCACTATTTTACGGTATTTCACTTGCAACATCACTAAAGAACACTGAATTCAACTCAAATTTATTTCTTAAAATCCATTCATTTTTTCATAATTTAAAGCCTCTGATAAGAAATAGCATGGCTAGGTTTCCAACACAACTCCACCCTGTGATAATGGATTAAGGGATTAGTACTGAAGCATTAAGTCCAGCTTTCCTATCATTTCCATTGTGATTGGTTTGGATGAAACATGATTCGAAAAATTTATTCTTAGAGGCAAATATTTATTCCTATTAATTATCTTATTTTTTGCATTGTTCCAAAAAATTTTTTGAAAATTAAATTATTATATTAATCAATAGAATTAATTAATTTTTAATTAATTCTATTTATTAGCAAATTATAGGGATATGATTACGACCCAATGGATTCATCGCTGGACCCAATATTTATTGGCCGTTGTATGATTGGCATTATGTGTCCTGCAACCGGGAAAGAACACTGGATTCAAATGGTCGACAAAAATGGACTACCAGTATGTATGTGGCATAAGCTTGTGGATTTCTGAGCTATTAAATTTTTGCAATGTCTCTCTCACCATTGCTTCGCTATTATCATTGCAAATATATGGTAACAACTAAAAATCTATCCTTTTATTACGCATTTTTTTAATGGATTTGGCTATAAGATATTCGTTTATACTTGGACAATTATATTGATCAAATTATATTAATTATATATCAAATTATATTAAATTATATTGAATACACACCGAGATTTCCGATCAATCCGATCAGCTTATTATAACAGATTGGCAATAAGAAATAAGTGAACAAATAAAAATTTGTAAATTTGTAAATTTCCAATAAGAATATTAAGTTTTTATCGTTTTTTTAAGGTTTTAACCTTTTTTAACAAATTAAGTTTAAAATAAGGAGATAAATTTACTTGGTTAATCAATTATTTTGCTGAAAAATAAAACGACAACAATGATTTTGTACGGCAAAACCACTGAAGAATTGTTACAATAATCTGAATCGTTGCAGTAGCAAACAATATTCGTAATTCCGAGCAAAGTTTCTGAACTGCAACCTGGTTCGATTTTCATGAGTCCTTTTTCGTCATATAAACGACCATTATTGATATATCTTAACAGCAAAAAAAATCGTAATTGAAGATAGCGCGTTATTTAAAAACTACTCAGAAGTTCTAGATTTATCGAAATATTATGAACCGCACATTTTGCACCAAAAATAATGTTCTCGCACCTGGAAGTAATGTTTTCGCATCCTTTGCTAACATATCGGCTATCGGCTGCAAAATGCTATAGTAAACTTTTGAAGCAATTTTTGTAATTCCATATCTTAACTTATTACAATCATATATTCAACAGGATTAATTCCGATATAGGAAGAAATATTTTCCAGTATTTCTATAAATTCCACTTTTCTTTTTCATCATTGGATCATTTTCTTACTTCGCAATCACTTAATCACCTCGCAATGGGAAGAACTAGAAATTGCTGAACTATAAAATTTTCTACGAAATAAATATGATAATAATTTTTTATCTAAATAGAAACTATTGCTCCAAAATTCGGCAGTGGTAAAATTATATTTTTTAAGATTTTCACTTGTGAATAAGATATTGCAACCATTTACAATCATCATTGCTAGAATGCAAAAAACGGTATATAAAGATTAAAAAAAACCTGAAGATTTTACGCAAAATTCGCCCAGGCAAGTACCCGAATTGCATTTATAAGGCATACTGCATCGAAAACATTTCCATTTTTTGCCTGAAAAGTATTTTTGTGAAATCTGTCTCTTGACACGAGATTTTTTCTAAGGCAATTTAAATCAGTAACCAGTAAATCAATGACCAACGCGTTCGATATGGGCGCAGGAGAACACCGGACGTAGTTTTCATGCAAATTTCAAATAATTTCTCTCATATATAAGATAGATGAAATTGCAGTCGTAATAGTCGCTAAGAACATCCTCCTGCCTGGTAAAACTACAAAAATGTCTTGACCTTGAAATCAGGTTTGTATTTATGTTTATATCTCTGCATATCTTTCTAATACGGTTGAGGAAATTATCCAGTGCAGTGTAGGCGGACGATGTCACTAAGGCTACCATTGATCATTCCTCCTAAGAACTTTCTATTCTCTGAGCCCAAAAAGTTTTTCTTTTATTGTCATCAATTTAGGAAGCTATTTTTGTTTGATTTTTGTTTTTTCATTGAATAAGATAAATTATGCAAAAATTCATTTAAGTGATTTAAATTGTTTTCTAACTGTAGAAAAACTCCTCCATAACAAAAAGCGATAGGAAATATAAAAGTATCTGAAGTATCCAAACCATAAAAAAAGTAATCTTTTTGAAGGTCACCAATTCCTTCATACCTGCTTTTTCGAATAATTTGTATTCTTTAAATAATTGATATAATATATAAAGTCTTGGTGAATAGCATAAAACTTCTGAACCTACTGAAATATTTTCTTTTGCAATGTAAGAAAAAGGCAGGGATCCTCTGATTTAAATTAGGTTTCTCTCGAATATACATTTATTATTGCGGAAATTTCGTGAAAGAGTAATAAATATTAAATATCGAAATAAAACTTACTTCTCGGCTGTTCTAGCAATGATTTATCAAAAATGCTCACCAAAATAAGTGCGAATGCGATAACATGTATTATGTTCATAACAATGATCTGTAAAAATGAGGCATGGAAAGAACAAAATAAGTGAGAAAATAGGGAAAATTTGGCGGTCCAATATGAATTAAACCTCGCCGAGATTTTTTGTCTTCTCAATCTCAATGTGATGAAGTAAAAATTAGTAAAATGAACCGACAACCCTATCCCACGTAAGACTTAACCTTAATGCCCACAACGTCCAATCTGTCTTTAAACTTTTAAATTTTCCTTCAAACTTCTAAAACTTAGATTGAAATCGGCAAAAGATAAAAGCTTTACTCCGATACTATGAAGCTTGATAAGGTTAAATAGGACGGAGTAGATGAGCTGTACAAAACCAAATCTTAGATTAAAAATCCAAATATTCTTATTTTGATTTAGTAAACAAATCAAAATAGAAAATGAAAATATTGCAGAATAACTAATAAATTGCGTATTTTTTTAAATCTACGGACAATTGCTTTAGGTTAATTAATATTAATGGTCAATTTCTTGCGTGGACGATCGATCTTACTTAGTTAGTTGAAAACTGGCATTATCCAATTCATCCATTTTTCCATTTTCAATGTCAATTTTTCATTAAAAAAAGTTCGTATATCGATGTTGAATGCCAAATTACATCGATATAATCGAATCGATCGATAAATTCTAACATAAAAGTAGGATGGTACTAGAGAAATTCACTTTCAATATATAAGCTATTTGTACAACAAAAATTAATTTATATGCTAGTAGAAAACAAATAAACCAATAATATAATAGGTTTTTTTTCAAATTATAATTAAAATTATAACTATTAAAAATGCCTTTCCTTTTAAGTTGGAAATTTGGTAAAGGTATAGGATGGTACTTAACAGATGGTACTGTTTCGACTAAGTCCTAAGCCCACGATTCTCGATGAAAAAAAAGTTGTCAATAAAAGAGCGCGTGGTGACTTACTGTTTCCAAGTGTTTGGAGAAAATTCCATGCCCTGATAGCCAATAAGGCCATCCAAGTCAAAAATCGGATTGCTACTAGAAAAAGAAGAATAAAGAGAACAAAGGGAAGAATAAAGAGAATTGTTTTTCAACGAGTTGCACCATTACTTATTGGTGATATAATAATAAGATGAGATTATTCGGACTCATTATTATTGTTTCAAATACTTAGATTGGAATCTCTGAGATTGGAACCTCGAGTGAGCGCCAGTGAAACACCTAAATGTCTTTGCAAATTCAAATTTTCACAATAACTCGGGTCCATCAAACCATATATGCAGCTAGTTTCAGAAGCAAAAAGTTAGACTTTTGTTCTAATCTCCATATAATGTTGAGCTAAGGCATTCTTAGAAATCCGCAAAATGAATATAAAAAATTTTATTCATTTTGGAAAATTTTGCCTTTTTTCATAGCGACCTTCACGATAATGACAAACATTTCCAATATCTTATGCAACTATCGCCCTGACAAATTCCTAATTTGTTTTATCTTCCCGCAAATCTATTAGCTAATTGGAATTGAACTATTTTATTAGGCCGAGGATCAAAAGATTTTAAAATTAAAGTTAATTTCACTCATTTCATTATAAATGTCAAATATAAATATGATATATATCAAATGTGATATACGACAATATAATAATATGATACACAGAAAATTTTCACACTTTTTCGATATTTTGTTACCAAAATTTGCCCAATAAAAGAATAAATTTTATATTCACGATTATTTTATTCAGTAAAAAATTCAAAACCTATCGTTCAACAAAATTTATTTTTAAGAATGCTCATAAGCTCGTCTCGCTCCTCTCGCTTGCAGGTCCAGACAAATCTCAAGTCACAAAATTCAATTGGCGACAAATCGCAAGTCACTAGGATCACTTAGATTTTTGAAGAGCAGGCTTATTCTTACCCGAATACTTCAATATGGTGCTCCGAAATGAGGATAACAAGCCATTAAGTTATAGCTCACTCCCTTTGCTTTCGTCCTTCATCACTAATGCTAAATGTGGTGCTTCGATAGCTCATATGCAAGCCATTCTTGATTGTCACTAGCATTCACTTGCCATTAAGCCATCGATGCACCCACAATAAAATATTGCAACTTGCAAACATGAATATTTGCAGTAATATGTTTTAGATGCGACTTAATTATAAAAAAGCACGGGATAAAAAATGAGTTTTTAAAACGATCATAAATGAGATTTTTGCCGGAAATCGTTTAATTTCTCATAAAATGAGAAGAAAACCATTAAATACTTGCTATGATAATCTAAAATTATGTTCTACGATAACTTAAATTTAAAACAATTCCGACTTAGAAACGTTTTTCACCAATCATAAATAAATCCCTTAAAAATTGCTTTAAAGTCCTTAATTCTAAATTTTTAAGAACCATTCACCAGCTATTGTTAATTTTTCGATAATCCAACTACCCAATTCTATAATATTAAATTGAAATTCATAATTTATCATGATAATCAGCACATATATTTTCATCTTCTCTTAATGCAAGCAACCTTTCGAAAGCTCTTAAAATCTTGATAGTCTGCCATGCTTTTCGCTGGAATTTCTAAAAGAAGTTAATCGTCTTCCAGCCTTTCGTGATTTTTTTGCGCAGATTTTAAATAATTTATTTGAAAAAGTACAAAAAACTTTGATGAAATCCACTTCAATTAACTAGAAGAAAAATAAAAAGTGAAAAATTAAATAGATAAACGCATTCATTTATCTGAAATCTTTTCATCATATTTTCGTTTTATACAAAAAATATATGTTTATTGGCATATTTTTTCCTATAGTTTCATTGCCTGTATGAAATTTATTTGTTTATTTTCTTTACTTTTACTTTACTTCAATTGAGAATCTATTTAAGAATTTATTTGTGATTATTTTTCTAGATAGACCATGAGGAGCAAATTCTTGGCTGCTGATTGCGAGTGGAATTTGTTTCGTTATCACTGATTATCATGCCTTCATTTAATTAATTGAAAATTAATTGAAAACAATAGAAAGCTTTAAAAACTCTTCAAGAATGAAAGTTTGCATACGGTGTCTTTGTAATGTGCGAAATTTAAGACGAAATAAGCAAATTACATCTGCAATTTAATTTATTTGGCAATGAACACGATTGGAATTTTTCTAAGAATTTTGTGCATTCCTTGTAAACTTACTATTTTTACATGAAATGATGGTATTGATTAAGGAGCAAGTTGACCTATAAAGAAATATAATCGATACACATTTTTGCCCCGTTGATACTAAATAGGTCATCATAAAATGAGATGTATGAATAAATAATATAGTACATTATAATGTAATATTATAACCAATTGAAAATTGAAAATCTACTGTTCAAAATTTGTTGATGTTCAGATCTTAAACAAGGAAACAAGTAAATAAAGAAGTTTTTAGGACCACAAAAAAATTTCATGCGCAGAATTTTACTACAAATTCTGTTAATCTCTATAAGTTTCTATCTATGCATTGGAAAAATAGGTTATTAAAATTTTATATAACAAGGAGCAAATTTTATAAAAAAGAGAACTAAAAACAAAAGCCATCCGTTCAGAATATCCGAAAATTAATAAATTTATTCTGCAAATGGCTCGTGCTTTTCAAGAAAATCAGCGAAGCAGTCTCTGATACTGTTAAATTCTTCAACGCAAAAAATATAATCAACGTAATTATTTGGTGCTCCATCTTGAGCTGAGCAATATTCCAGACATTTTTTTGAAACTCCTTTATCCTAAAAAAATTTTTTAATATTTATTGAACTTTGAATAAATTTTTTTCTTCCCTGGCATATTCTCCATGAATTTTAGAAAAGAAAATAATTTTATTGTTACAATAGAAGCTACTAACTACACAGCATTTTGTATGATCAACATTCGATGAAGCGCATGAAAACATTGTGCCAACAACTCGATTGTCACAGTGCTTCAAATAAACCAATATCTAAAGAATATTTTTATAAAATTAATAAAATTTTTATAAAATTGCAAACTTTTGGTAGAAATAAATAAGTAATGAATAATCCATTTACAATCTATTGTGAAAGAATTTTCACTAAATTTGCTCGAATGCACTGTTTGAGGTGCAAAAATATCATGCTGTGGTATCTCGTTTCGGCATCAAGCAGGTTTTCTCTGAAGTAAAGTTATGTTTTTGTGGTGGCTCATCAACACTCGTATTACAAATGGTTGTAGCATCATACTTACTTACTAGCCAATGGAGCCATGCAAACCCGAAATGGTGAAATGCTTTTGAAGGAAATGCTTTTTTAGGCAAAAAATCGCTATTTACTAATCAATAAATGAATAATTGGATTCCAGCACTGGAAATGTTAATATTAATTTGAAATGATTTTTTATTTCAGAAGAAAACGATTTTTAACAAATGGATATTAATATTGAATGTTTTCGTTGGAGAGCCGCTTGTGGATCGAAATATAAATAATCCTCAACATCTCTCGAATTTCATTCATAATCCTTCACCAAAGAGCAGGAGCCGAACCATGATTCATGAACAGATCGTCTAAGCAATAATGAACCGTGAAGCCAAGCTGTCTAACATAAAAAATCAAGTGATCTTTTTTCATAATATAATATAAAAATACATTTGTTTGGCTGATTGAATCAAAATCGCAATATGCCCGAAGGCAAACATTGATAGCTGTCTGATTATTTGTGAATTTCGATTCCTGTGCTTTGCAACATCTCTTTAATTTTTCATTTGCACTTTCTCGTTGAGCATAGGTGACAATAACAAAGAATAGACTCCCGTGAAATAAGTTACGCACTGGTGACATTAAATAATGCGGTAATTAGCGCTGCTGTAAAAAATAATCAAATTGTTGCTTAAGAATAAATCAAAAATAGTATTTTATAAATGAATAAATTTTTATATATTTTATACTTAAACTTTCGAATTTTTTATAAGCCATAGATCGCTATTTAATCCAATAAATTTTTTAATCGTCCATTAATGAAATTATTTTATTTGAACATAAATATTTAAATAAATACAAACATTTCACCAATAAATTGTCATTTCTTATTTTATAAGACAATATTCTTTTTTTCTAAATTTTATTTATGATTGATAATTTATTATATTGATATATTATTATATGATTGATAATTTATGATATTTAAACAAAAATTACATATTTAAACAAAAATTATAAATATAAATGAAAGATCACAGAAATATGAAATATTATAAGTGATTTGGCACTTATATACGTAAAATGATCAAATTGATTGTGAACTGGTGAACAATTTATTCAACAATGCCCTAATTAAATAATGTTGACCTTTCTGCGACTAAAATACGATTGCTTTAGGTGATGGATCTTAAGATTTTTCGATTCGACAATTATTTTTTTAGTATAACGACTATTAACGTATAATAAAGAATGTTAAAAATGCTCTGATATATGCTTACATTTTATTAAGTAAATAATAAGCAAACCATGAATTTTAACGGTGACAATAATTGAAAAAATTCGATGGAAAGAAAAGATGCCAATAAATTCCAGGAATGGAATTGAACGAATTTCGATCAATCATTTCGTTACTTTAAACGATAGTCGCTAATTTAAAAACAATTCGCAAAAAAAAGTTTAATTTTTAATTCTATATAATTTTTAAGGGAAATATTCATACAATTTTTGAAAAATTTTTGCCTTGATTTCTGAAATAATAGCAAAAATATTTCAAAGCTTTGAGTGCTTTAAGTGAAATAATATCAACGAAAATATTCTATTAGTTTAAAAAAGCAAAAAATATAAAGTTTTATGAATAATAAAAAATAAAATAAAAACTGTGGAAAAAAAGATTTTCGTTGATATGAAATGACTTGACATTTTCTTGATTTTTCAGTCTAAAATATATTAAACAATAATCATCATGATAATCTCTCTTAATATCTCAATAATCTCTTATTGCTTTTGTTATTGTATGGCTGTTACTACTTGTTAAATACTACTCTCTTTAGTAGTTTTTTAAATAAATAAGTAATCGATTGTCTAAATTATCATTGTTCTAACACTAAAGAAATTCGATACCGAAAAAGAAATGGCTTAAATTTCTCATAAATGACTTCTCAAGGCCACTTTTATATAAATGTTGATAAATTAATAAAATTAATAAAAGATCTCGGATCGCCTCTCTCTGACAAGTTTTAAGTGCTAAAATTTATTCAATAAATTGCTTTAGCAAGATTTGTTTGAAAACAGAATTCCTCCTTAAAATCAAATTGTGAGTTGGGGATTGTTTTAGGTGATTTAATAAATCTGGTTCTGGCTTTTAAGAATGTCATTTTTCCCAAGCGACCACTTGACTAACGCTATGTCACAATTCCTTTAAGAATGTTTCCTTAAAAAGTGTTATTTCTGTTAAGTATGACCAAATCGTTCCATTTTCATCTATTTTTTAATATTCGGTGAATTATCTACAAAATATTTCGTAAAAATAAGCCCAATTTTTAAATGCAGCAGCGTTGCATTTTTATTTCAGAACTGTTTAAAAATATAGAAAATTTTTAAAAGCTTCGTTCATTACTGAAAGTTCAATGACTTTAATTTGCTGCTTTTCTAAAAAATTACCTTTTTTCGTAATCTTGTACTCTTTATAAATAAAACGGCCTTTGTTTTATTCAAATTCAAAAGTGAAGGCAATAATAAAAGTGATAAAGGTAGGAGTTTTATTATGCTTCAACTGATACATTATGGGTTTGATGGGCTCTGCGCCTTTATAGGAATAAACCTCATCGAAATTCAGTTGAATTTGAAGTAATTATTCATTTGTAATAGTGAAAGAAACTTCTTTCAACTTTTTTATTTTAAAGTTAAAATTAAATTATTTAACTACATTTCAGATTATCATAAATCTTCAGCTGGATAATATGCATTCGTATCAACCTACGCATTAAAAATGACTTTTACTCATCAATAAGCAACCCGAAAAATTTGCGAACATTAGAGAATCTTTTCATATTGCATAACTTAAACAGCAGTTCCATTTTGGGAAATGGTAGAAGAAAATAACTCGCTGGTGAGAGAGTTAACATCATAGTGATTGGTGCAACTAGCTAAAGCAGAAATGGTACGAGTTAAATAATGAGAAAAAATCCGACTGCCATAGCCTGTAAGGAGAGTGGTTAATTCGCTAAAAAATGTTTCATAATGATTGCTAAATAAGCTGCTATAGAATTCTAAGAGTTTTTTTATCAGATTGTTTTTTTTTAAAAGCACATTATTGCTGAATAGATTCACTACACTGGTTTGTCGGATGAGGCAAATATGTCCTTATGTCCTTAATATGTTCTTTTGAATCCTTTGACGATAGAATACAGGTAAATCGCCAGCATTGCTCGGATTTTTGAAGGGCAAATTTACTCCTACTCGGAGAAGGACCTTATCACCAGAATTCTGAACTGAGCAACAACTCACTGTGCCACTCTACTCTTTCTTCTATATTAGTCAACAATGCCCGATGAAGTTAGATTCGAACCTAAATTTTAATTCTTGGTGACAATTATCTTGCACTGAATCACCAGAGCACCTTTAATTAAGAAAAGTATCGGGTATTTACTTTTCTTTTATACATTACTTTTGATTTATTACTTTTAAATTTTATTTTAAATTATTATAAATAATTTCCGCTAACTTTTAAAACATATCAAACTTCCTTAATCTTTTCGTAAAAAAACTATAATCCTCTTCACTTTTGTTTTGTTTTCATATTAGCAGTTATTATTAATTTTTATGGTGTATAAGCACTGTCGGCCTGTTTAATCATTTTCCAAATAAATTTATGAAATTTAACTCAGAAATGTCATCTAATCGCAATTCGTGAGTAACCATATTTACTATAAATATTTTCTTGTTTGCCAGTTATTTTCTTATAACTTTAGATGTTCCGCCAAAAATTTGGTATAATAAAAATTTATGAAAATATCGTCGAAACCACTGAATTGGGGAAAGTTTTGAATAAAAATTATTATTATTCGCTATGTTTTCAGGATGCCTTCGAAAAATTTTTAATAGATTGAAAAATCTTATATTTTTGATCCGTTAAAATAATGGAAATTTGCTTGACATTTGAACAAAGCGAATTTGGTACAAAATGACAATTTATTTAATTAGGAATGACAACTTAAAGTTTCGTTAAAGGATTTGGTTATTACTGAAATAAATAATGAAGTAAAGATACGAATTAAAAATATTTGTTCATTGATCCATTTGCTCTAATCTTATTTGTTTTTTATATCAAATAACCACTTTCCATCATTTCACTTCAGCATTTCAGCAAAATTTATTTCTTAATGGTGCTAAAGTTGGCTGAATGATATAAATGAACGACCTCTTTCCACAAGGGTTCTATCAACCGAAAATCCAGATAGTGCTTCAGCCTTATGGCTAGTTGACCGCCCGGCTAGTCGTGCTAGACTAACCAGAAATGGTAAATACCAGCCATTTATTTACTTCCCAGTAACTTGTGATCTTTCTAGATATAAATTCGAAGACGGCAGTAAATTTTACTGATTCTCCATTAATATTACAATTTATTCGAGCTGAAATGATTTAATTGCGCAGATCCTATGACCATTTACATATTCATAAAATTAATTATTGGAAATGGCAATTTCAAATTAATTGAATCGATAATACTCCGAATAATATTTATTTACCTTTATCCTTGTCATTAAAATAGGAAAAAAGATGTGCGACAAGATAGCATCCGTTTATTGTTCGGGACTCATTTCTATCTCGAACTTGCTTTGGCGACTGATTATTATCTTTGTAAGAAGTAGTGGAGCCAGTCAAACCACAAATGAAGGCCATTAGAAATTAACGAAAGTGGAGATAACAGATGGTTAAGCAATATAGTGAGTTGTTAGTTAGTTGTTAGTTGATAAGGACTGAAAATGCAGGCAGTAATTATAACTCGGTTTTTTCCGCTAATTTATTAATATTTGTTAATTATTTCTCAATTATATTACAATTTAACTTATTCCGTTTCGTGCTTGGTAATGATCAATTTAATTCTTTCTGTTAGGGCGATTTCTAAATGAAATCTCTCAGTTGTAAAGATACATTGTTTAAATATAACAATTTAGATATTTTGACGAAATTGTTTTATGAAAGGTTTGTGAAGGCGAACAAAAAATTATAGCTGGAATTATGCGGTTTCCACGTGTTTTTCCAGAGCTTACGTATGACAATGTTCAACCTACCGTGTCGCGAACGAATTATTAAATCGAAGATGTGCATGTCGCTTCAAATTATTTCCATTTTTAATTAAACTTGAACTGCTGATCAATATTCTTGAATTGAAGATACAGCGTGTACTCCTTTGTCCTCGTTGCTCGATTTTTCACCTGAAAAAGCTTTACAGATGTCCGACCAATCTCGACTAAATATAAATTTAAGAGAACGTTGTCGAATGCATGATCTCAACCAAGCTTTTGATGATTTAAGAATAATTTTGCCTTATGCGCATGGAAACACCGTTCGAAAGCTTTCTAAAATCGCTACTCTATTATTAGCGAAAAATTATATCTTAATGCAAGTAAGTTTTAATATTTTGTCTTCAAATTTGTTTTATGAAATAATGGAAAGTTTTTCTAATGTAAATGAAGTTCTCTCTATTGTTGATTCTTTTCGCTGGCTTCTCAGATCAATTTTTACTAGTGAGCGGTAAAAGTATAAGTATGTATACTGATCGCCATACTGATTTGCAAATTAAAATTTAAAGAAATTTATTTTTTCCCTTGTCAATCTTTTTAGCCCTATTAATCTTTGCTATCACTTTAAAAACCCATCTATGGTTAATAAAACATGGATCATCTCCAGTGCCTTAACAGAATTGTCTTCACACAGATTTTAAATTCTCATATCTTTAGGCAAATGTGATCAGAGATCTTCAACAAATTATCCATGATCTGCAGAGTCAAATTTCAAATCAACACTTAACACAATCCGACAATATTTTTTGAAGAGATAGATCTCCACTTTTTCTTAACTATATTTGATTTGTTTTTCTTATTTTTTTCAAAATATTGTCAAAACAAAAATGAAATTCATAAACCTAAAAGCAACGCCAATCCACACAAAAAAATATTTCTTAATATCGAAATTATTCATTTTTTGTACGTTTACTTTAACAATGCAATCGGTCCATATTTTTCATGCTTTTATTATTCTTTATTCTTTTATTATTTGTTATTCTGCGAGCTATTTATAATTTTCATCAATTATTCTCATTTTTAACCAAAAATTTATCAAGCAATTTATTCTAATTGCTAGTTGATAATTTGATTGTTTATAATGATATCGATATAATGATATCGATTAATGCAGAAATGTTTGCAGAATCTTATAAATTATTTAAATATTTTTACTTAAATAATTATATAATTAAAACAAATCTTAAAATTAATACAATACAGCAGTGTGAAATTTATAAAAACTATCAGATGCTTTTTTTTCTTATCAAATTTTATTTATCATTGTATATTGTAAGCTGTATGGAATAGAATGATTGAATTGCGTGCTATTTATACATTTATTCGTGAAAGATATAATATCACAGGTTCAATTATTTAGCTGCATTGGAATAAATGTTGATAAAATTTGATTTTAACAGTTGATAAAAGCATGAAATTCCGAACCTAATTTTACTGTGAATCTCTTTCTGCCACTTTTTTAACCATTCCAAATATCTTTGCATTAATTTTTATCAAAGTGGTAGCGATTTTGACACATTAAATGTGAAACTATGAAACTGTACAATTCTATATAATAATAAAATACGATTTTTTCTAGATGGAGTTGAGGTTCTATTCCACGCAGGAGTAAACCTGTACAAAAATCCAGGTGATGCTGGCGACTCACCTGTATCTCTATCACTTCCTGGTATATTGCCCAATGCGACAAGCCAGTGGAGTAATGGTGAGGACCCTTAAAAAAAAATGCTGTATGCCATCTGAACAATCATGCATAGGATACAACGAGTAAAGAAAAAACTCCATTTTTTTAATCACCGTTTAAAAAAATTTCTCAGCTCCATCTAGAAAAAATCTATTTTATTATTGTATAGAACTGTACATTTTCACAGTTTCACATTTAATGTGTCAAAATCGCTATTTGGAATGGTTAAAAAAGTGGCAGAAAGAGATTCACAGTAAAATTAGGTATTCGGAATTTCATACTTTTATCAACTGTTAAAATCAACTTTTATCAACATTTATTCCAATGCAGCTAAATGATTGAACCCGTGATATTATATCTTTCACGAATAAATATATAAATAGCACGCATAAAATCTGCCATAAGTTGCAATGGTTAACGCGGATTATTTATGGGTTATTATTTCTAGATCAATTCACCTGGCTAATGTGAAATTTAAAAATTTCACTTTGAGCCAAGGAGTCTGACGATAAACATACATATGGATTGACACAACTCGGATTTTTTAATTATAATTTTACTCGTATCGAATGCAGAAACCGAATTTTTGCTTCTCAACACTATAAATTATTTTAATTGCTATTGATATTATTATTATTATTGATAATAATAATAGTGACAACAATAATAAAAAACCAACAATAGAATAATAATAATTGAGTAAAAAAGCGAAAGTGCTTCATTGTATGGAAATGTTGATTTTCGTAAGCGATTTCATGCAATAACAAAAGACAATGAGTATAATCGTAAAGGATTTATTGCGAAAGGATTTAACGTTGAAAGATTTGGTAGAAACGTTAATCTTCAAAAGCCTATTTCTCTAGCGGGTTTATTTAGCTACAAAATATAAGTACCCCTTAGAACCACCTGAATTTTATAATGGAAGGCTCACAAAGAGCAGGGATGGAACCTAAGGTTGCTTTAAATGAAGCAACGTGCCACTTGATCATTCTGATTACTTTTTTTAGTTCAATTTCCCATTTGTGTTACTAAAACGATTCTTTTGTAATATCGTAAAAAAGTGTTTCGTTTCTTCTATGGAATTCCTTAATTTTAATAAATAATTATGGCAAACTCAACAAATTTGGGATTTCAAATTAAGCATTTTCTTCTGTAATTTATATATTTATTTAAATCACTTATCACTTATCTAATCTAATCGAATTTGAAAGGAAATTTTCCTCTTAAACTGCTTAATGCACTCGTTAAAATGAAATAAGAAAGAAATAACGAACGAATGCTTTGAAATACACCTTTTGATTGCATTGTAAATCATCGGAACGAGTGGGAAGTTCAACCGGCAAAATTCAACGATTAATTTTATAATTTAGAGAAACGAAAAAGTAAAAAAAAAAAAAAACATGCAGAAACGATGAAACGATGCAGAAAATAAAAATTAAAAATGTTTGGTTATTCATGTAAATAAGTAAATTTATTTTCCCGGAAAATCCTTAAAAATATTGATTAAATTAAAGTTGAAAGCTGAATTTTTTATTAGAAAATTGTTTTTTGAAATCTTCTTAATATTTTTTGTTTACGACAATTGTTAAGAAAAATTAAGTGATAGGTAATCAGAAAAAGGTCAGAGTTATTCGTCAGCTGCTCGATTTGATAGCGAGAGCTTGATCCACATTCCAGCCAACCTATTCAATCATAGCTCTAGCTTGTTTACGAAGCTCGGTCTCGGATTTTGATAGTTTTACCATCCATAATACTTCACTGATGTAACTGTCTCTCGAAATTCGTCTTTATTAATCTAATTGTTGGTGAAGAAACTTTTCGATTAGAATGTTATTGAAAAATTTTTTAAATCTATTTTTTCCAAAATGTGATAATTTAGGATTTGATTTTAAAACTTATATATAGTATTTAAGTCGAATCAAATGTTTCATTCAGTTCGATCACGAAGTTTATAATCTGCTTTTGTATAAAAAATGCTAATTGTTTGTTAATTATTCACCGTATTTTGTGAAAAATCCCCCCATCTTCTCATCTTCAAAAACCCGAAATTTCGTTTGGCACCCTAAAGACATCAATTTTTTCTTCACAAATACATTCATCTTCAATTTATTTTAACGCTTATTTTATTATTGTTATTTTTATAATATATGTGAGATTAGAGAGCAATCGAACGATTTCATTTAATTTATTCTGTTTTGAATTAGTTTTCTTCTTGTTCTTCTTCCGTTTAGATAAACTCTATTAGTTAGAGAAAAAAGATTTACAAATTTCCTCGAATTTAATGCATGAAAATTGAAGGCTTTTTTCCACAGTCTTTTTAGTTCGGCTGTATTAAAATCAAACATTTACCATTTTTCAAAAAACTTCAATACAGCTTTCAAATGTGAATTTTATTAACCACTTTTTGCATCCATATTTTTGAACAATATTTTCGAGTGGAAGAACAATGTTCTCTTTTAGTAAAATATTATTCTGTGATATTTTTTCGCTTATTTACTTCACTGCACTACTTTTTTTTTAGTAGAGTTGCAAGATATTTAAATATTTTCATTTTATTTAAAAAATATCATTGAGCGCTTGAAATGTGAGTCCTCCTCTGTCTTCTGGGACAGTAGCTCTCCATCTTTAATTATTAACGTCCACTCGGTCAAATTATTTATTAAATGATTAAAAGCGAATAGTTGAGACGGAAACCACTGCTAAATAATAACCATTCGCTAATAATACTCTCCTTCTTTGAATTATTGAGTTTTTTACAGGAATAAGAAATGCAAAAATGCAAGTATTCGTATATTTTCTTTAGGTAACGTAGCGAAAATAATTTAATTTCATTGTCTATCGAAATAATTTTAGAAAAAGATTCATAAAATCGATTCGATAAAGAATAGAAAATGAAATTTTATTTTTCGGATGGGTATGGATGGAATTTCTGTCACTTGCCCGAATAATAATCTGAATTCAATTCAAACATTTTAAGATTTAAGATTTAGGCTTCAAAAATTTTGTGATAATACTCAAATACAACCGCTTCAATTATACGGATTGGAATAAGGAAGTTATATGTCAGAATTTTTTCTATCGATAGTGATAAGAAAGGTAGGATCACAAGCATGGTCATTAATAGATTAATTAACACCTTTCTCATGTTCTATCATGTTTTTTATTATTACTATTATTATTCTATTATTCTTATTGGTGACAAATATATAATATGTTTTGCATACAACATTTTACTGGAATGCAAGTTTTGGAAGAAAATTTTTCATAATTTGCTTTTGAAATTTTTTATAATTTGCTTGATATGTTTTAGCGCATTTGACAGGAATGTTAATAAACTTTCAAGTGGAAAAAAATCTGCGCAAACCTATCATCAAATATGTTAGGGTGCACATTCACCTGTATTTCTATCCCCTAAATGATTCTCGACGTACTAACTGTTACCGAAGCGAGTACCACTACTGATTTAGCCACTATTGATGAGCATCAATCACTAACTTATTAAAGCATTTTGCTTAAATGATTTTTTCCATTATCTTTTTTTTTCTGTGGTATTTTAACTAATATTTTAAAAATTTCAATGATTAATAACCAAAAAATGAAAGATTGTTTCAACAACTTGTTGCGCAATACCAGTGATGAATAGTTTTAGATTCTTTTAAAAGTACTGTTTTGCTTTCATTTACAATTTTTACAATTAATTAATTGATTTGCTTAAGCTCCTCTTATTTTCTTTTTTATTTTTAAAAAAAATGGGTGAAAATGATGATAATTTCACCAGTTCATTTATCAACGAATAATCTCTATTCTATTTTTTTTCATCCAATTGATTTGAAAGAAATCCCGATTGATAACGAATGATAAAAGTTTTGCTCTCAGTGGATAAATTTTTGCTCATAAATTATCCTAAACCCTAACTTAATAAATTAAAACAGATGTCAAAATGTTAACTATTCAAGATATTCCAGTGATCGATTATTTCATTGATGTCAGATTTGTCTGTCAAATTTAAATGTGGTTGGCAATATGCATATTTGGCAAATTTGCTGATAGCGCCACATCATAAATCCCTTTCAGTTTGAGTACCGTCGAACGTTCATCCTATATTCTATCTTTCCTCTCCTTCCTATCCTTTCTTCTCCCATCTTTATAACTATTTAATAAATATTTTTTGAGGAACTTATTTAAAAATATCTCGCGCCTTTTACGTGAATTTATTATTTGTTCGGTATCATCTGTTTATTTTTAAGATTGAATAGATAAATATTTTCAATAAATCAGCAAGAATGGTTGGAGCAAATATGGCTCAACTTATCAAAAAGTTTAGCCAAAGAAAGTAAAAATCTTTTTCACTTTTCACTTATTTTATTATATAATTTGAAAAAAAGGCCTAATTTCATAAATGGACGATATGGATAATGAATCGGTGCGTTTTTAGTTCAAAATAAGATAAAAAAATGAAGATGTTACGTTCGTTTATACTCTCTTAAATGCTAAAAGTTTTGTCTCTGATCTGGTTGGTTCCAATGATTCTAGAATGCGGCCTATTCGTCAGAAAATCAAGTAGGTAAGGCAAATCCCCATCACATGATCATTGTTCTGAAACTAGATAATATAAAATATAAATAAAATATAAATAACATGAAATAATATTCTGAATTTTCATCTATTTCTCAATCCTCGATCTTTATAGGTCAAAAATGTGATAGAAAAGTGTTTGCTAGAAATGTTTACTAGCAGAAACAATCACGGATCATTTGAATATAATACCTGTAAAATTAAATATTTTTTGCCAACAATAAAATAAAAATTCGTCTTGTCTAATTTTTTGGTATGGATTCTTAAGCACCGTTAGTATCCTTCAGTGTTATCGGAAGATTGGGTGGTGCACCTTCTCAGCTTTTATCACAAAGTGCTAATGGAAACACCTTTTGCACCAAAAGTTAAAATATACTTTGTTTAAAATACTTTTAAGATATTTGCTTTTCACATAATAATTTGTGTAAAGAAATAAATTTTAATGGTGCTAGAAGAAATTATTAAATTTGCCATAAACCTCGTTTGCATTTCGCATTTAAAGGATTTCATCGTTATTCATCGAGTTCCAATTATAACCAAAGAAATCAATCTCATAAACCAAATGCTTTTGAAGAAATAAATGATTTCAGAAAGCGTTCAAAGATTTGGCGGAATGTTTGTCAAAATGCCAAAAAATTTCATTCAATACCTATAATTTTGCGATCAACGAATTTTGATGATTCTTTAAGAGAATTGGCATATGAGGTTGTTTTTATTTGTGATTATAAATTTAATGGCACCAATTTAACCCATCGGAACAGTGTGGCCGAGTGCATTTCGGTTGATCGATCATTTCAAGCACCATGTTTCGGCTACCTATACTCTAAAGGGAGAAATCCAGATACTGCTATATCCATCGGTGATTGTGGCTCTGACGAAAATGATAGAGCGAGTCTAATCTGAAATATGCTAAAGAAAAAAATAACATAGTGGAAAATAATAATAAACTTTTTACATAGAGACATTTAAACTTATTAAATTTAAACTTAAATTCTCGAAATTTTTTAACTTTACAGCATTAACACATTTTTGACAGATTGTGCTTCGCAATTTTCTTTTGAGTGGAAGCAAAAAATAGCTTTAGGGCATTTTTTGGGGCATTTTTTGAAAATATATAGATGATACTTTTATGTTAGGCGCTTTCTAGAAAATTTGGAACAATGTTTTATCATTATCACCCGCTAAACAGAGATTAAGTTTAGTTACTGAGCAAAGTTTATTAATATCAAAATTTTATCTCTGGTCATCTTTCATTATTAACATCGATTTAAATAGTGCAATTTGAAAATAAAGCGAAATAAACGCACCATTCACTTGGCTCGCTTGGTTGGGATGGAATTTTTGTCAGAATCTTTGGCGATGAATCAATACTATCCGATTTTTTAAAATGATATATTTCCATCAGAAATAGGGTCCGAGCATCATCTAAATTTATTAAGAGCTCTTAATAAATCGATGACATGAGCAACAAACCATCCTTTTTTTACTAGCGAAGTACAATTACCAATTCTTTAAGGTAACAAAACAAGCACTGGAAACATATGTAATAGAAAATGAGGTAGCAAGTCATATCAAAAGGAGATTTGATGCCTATGCCGGACCACCGTGGCATTGCATTGTTGGTCGAAATTTTGGATCACACGTTGAATATGATTTGTATATACATTTTTCTTACGATAGATTTGCTATAATTCTATTTAAATGCGGATAGCTTGTAGTCAGTTGAAATATTTCATTCGTTTTATTTAATTTCGTAATATTTAAATAAATGTATGATGCATTTCTTATCATCCAGTGATCATATCGGTAAAATTAAAATCAAAAAATTACTTTTAACCTTTGGGTTGATTATCGGATATATCGGTATAGAATTAGGGATTAAAAATGGTACCATATAGTGAATTTTAGAAAAAGTGAAAAATTGGTCTTTGAACTTAAATTTTTTGAAATTTTTGTATGATACCTTTTACAAATCTTTTCTTGAGTCTTTTGTTAATTTTATTCAACTGTTCGTTTATCATTATAATGATATGTTTAAGAATGATAAATCTTTTAAGTCGTGGTCGATATATTTATTTTCAACTACATTCCTCACAAATATGGCCCAAATCCGGTTTTACATTGGCTCATAATGTTTTACATTGGTTCCTTGAAAATCCATGGAAATCCTTGAAACCTTTCTAGAGAATCAAACAACGCAACCAATTTCTGCTTTCCATTTTTGGCTTGAAGATGAAGATGAAGATTCCTTCATCACTTGGGAAGAAGTATGAGCAGGGCTTTAGACCCACTGCCTGAATTCTGCTTTTAATGGTGCTTTATTTTCACAAAAGAATCAAGCCTATGATTACCATTCGACAATTTTGTTCTTGTTTGTTCAATAATTTGTAAAATTCAGTTGTTGTTCAAATTTTTTATCTAATTCAGTGGCCATAAAATTTTATCATAATTATGTACCTTATAATTGAAATAATAGTTGATAACAGTATTGTCAATATTTCTCCCGCAAATCGATCAAAATTTTTGAATGTTTTGTTATTTGTGCAATATTTTCGTGTTTTGAACTAAAGAATGGACTAATAATTTTTATAACAGTGAACCAATCTTTCAATCAGATTTTTATTAGCGATTCAAAAACCTGATTTTATAAAAAAATAAATCTTTTCAGCTTTATCGCTGTCGTCATAAGTGCACAAAAAAATTAAAAAACTATAATGAAGAACACATGAAAAATCAAGTGCATCACAAGATGCATCAGTAGGCAATTATATCAAATATCAACAAATCAAATTTCTTTTAGGTAAAGAATTTCCATATATGAATGACCATATATTTGTGACTAAATCTCCAATTTTGGCATGATTTATTGCCAAGATTAGGAAGATTTGCCAAATTTCATACTTTAAAAACTGCATCAACTTTAAGTCTGACTGCCATTTCATTAAGTATGACATTAACTGAGCGTTGTTTGGTTTCTGGACAATAGCGAATCATCATAAATAAGAAAATAAATGAAGGAATAAGAAATAATAAGAAAGCGTATGCTCCATTTGTAGCAGCTATTGGATAAAAGCCGAAATCCAAAGCGATCTTTGTTGAGGATTCGATTAATGAGAGAACGGTAACGGTTCTTAGCAGCATATTCTTTGGTACGAGTTCAGCAGAATAAAAACGTGAAATCGAACCAATACCGAGTGATGTTGCAAAGAGTAAAAGTGATACTCCGAGAAGAGTGCCAATCTTTAAAATAAATCGCCTTGGATATTCGATTCATCGCATTATAAATCGCAGAACAATTCTAAACTAAAAAAATTTGTCTCAATTAACCTTAGCACGTTCGCCGATAAAAACGCTTATCATGATTATCGAAAGCGTCAAGACACTAGCCAATTGCGATATTACCATTAGTGGTCGTCTTCCAACTTTTTCGATTATAAATATTGGTATTATGGATAATGGTAGGCGAATAATTGTATTGACCAAAGAGCCCCACTAAAATTAAAAATTCTTATCCAGTTTTCTCTCTTTTTCCTGCATTTTTTGTAATTTTCGAGTAAATGGTCACAATTTTTACTAGCTATTCAATTCATAATTATGATTATTATAGTATTTTATTTTCAACGTCACAAATTTGAACACCTCGATTTAATCAATCAAATTACCAAGAACGAAATCAATGAGTTTACAGAAAATTTAATTTATAACATTGGATATCTGATTTGATCGCTTCTTAACTTCTCTTACCGTTGAGTAATGGTCATAATGAATATTAAATATAAGAAAAAATGAAATATTGAAAAATGAAATGAAATATACTTGAGCAAAATTTTCGCTCCATTTTCCAAGTCCATGATAGATGAACGTATTGAATGACCGTATAACTCGTGCACCAGTGAATACATAAGCAATCTGAAAGCGATATGTTATACGAAGGTCTAATTTCGGCAAATCTGCAAGCAAAAATCTGAATTATATACCTTAACCATAATCCCAATCCATGCTCCTTGCCTAATAACAATCGAAAAAGAATCATTAGCTTTCCAGGGCATAAACATAATTTCCATGCCACTATATTCTTTCTCGTCTTCGAATTTCGGACTTTCCTTTTTTTTACCATCATCTTCACATTTTCTAAGTTGTTTTAATATTTCTATATCATCATGTAACCCGTGATAAGCAGCAATGGATCGCATAGCCTGAAAATACCCTGCTTGCCATAATATAAATTTTGCATGCAATCCACAGGAAGAAAGGGTTTTGCTGAGATTTCAAAATATAAAAGGCTCTTTTTAAAAACTTTTTCTCATAAAATCTTCTTTCGCAGAAATTTAATGCAAATTTAAATTTTGAAAACTTCCTTTAAGCTTGGGCATTCATTCTTTGCTTATATTATTTCATACTTATGCCTACTTCTGCCCAGTTTGAAAAAATTATAATCCAAAAACTCATCGTAATTGTTGCCAACAATATTCTGGTGCCTAGAAATGTTTGTACACTTCTTTTTTCGCCTCGAGTAAAGCTTACGTCCTATTTTTAATGTTAAGCTTGTTTTTGCTCATTAATTCATCAGTCTTTTACTTTGGAATCCAGGAAGTTTTAAGGGTCAATAGACAAATCTTAGAACCGTGAACTTGCATAAGAAAAAATTTAGTTTAAAATTATAACCGTTATTTTTCACAAATTTCAAACTGAAATTTAGCATTCTCTTTCAATTATAAATCAAAGTAGATATGTGATTTTTTCGCCAGAGGAATTCACAGATAATTCCACATTATATTATTTTTCCATTATTATCCCATGCATTTCATTCATTTTATTCTTAAAATTGTTTGGAAGGCCCCTGTAAGCCGCATTACTCAGGGGTTTTTAGACAAATTATTTCTCACATTCTTCTCTGCCACTGGCATAATAAATATACAACTTGGTTTTATGATTCTAGTTTTATATGGCAGTAACTTACAACTTTTGGCTTGTTTTTATAAATAAGTAAATACTGCGGCGATTCATACATCATAACGAATATCATTAGGCAAATTATATTAACAAATAAAGGAACGGAGAATGTGAAGGACCAAAGTGTAGACGTTGACATCACAACTCCGACTGCTTGAGATAATAAATTCCCTGCAAATCTTATGAATCAAATTAAGATCAAAACACTTTACTTCAATTATAAATCAAAGTAGATATGTGATTTTTTCGCCAGAGGAATTCACAGATAATTCCACATTATATTATTTTTCCATTATTATCCCATGCATTTAGTTTTACATTACATGGAATGTCGTCACCAGAGAAACATGAATTTCTCCTTATAAATTCGTTATAGACCAATAGTTCGTGAACTTTTGCCATTTCTTTATAGTCTTCAAAATTATTGGAGTCCAAACTTTTTTGGTTACAAGTTACATTTATCAGTGTTTAAGCTAGTAAAGATTATAGGTGAAAATACTTGGTAATACTTAAATTATCGCATAATTTAAGAAATTTATGAAAAACAGAAAAACAACAAAAATTTGATGAGAGACCTCTAATTTAAAAAAGGAAAGTACTAAAAAACATTCTGGTACTATTATACTATTATGCAGTTTTTTCTAGAAAACTCTTGCGGGTGCGTAGGTGAATTTAAAAATTGCTCAATTGAACTTACCACTTGTGGCGACCGCTTCTTGCCATGAATTTACTTTTCCTCTTTGGCTCGTCGGCGCGCTTTCCACAATCCAAACAGTTTGGACAACTATTGCTATACCATTTGCTGTTCCCCACAGAAAGCGTCCAATAATTAATGCCTCATAATAAGGAAAAAGGAATCTAGTGAGCATCGATAGTAATAAGGCTAAAAACAATGTTACTTTGGATAGATGAATCGGTCTTGCATTTTGATAGAATAAATCAAAACATCTAATTAAATAAACAACAATTTTCAGTATTTATTTACAACGCAGTGCTCATCAATAATTCATCAATAATTTTATAATTTATTCTAAATTTTGGAAGATGAAATTCAGTTTATCTATCTAAAATAAGTGCAAATCTTATCAAAACTTAAGTCATTATTCTCAGATCACAATTCCAAGGCAAAATCTAATAAAGCAAAGAGATCCTTGGAGTTGGAGAAAAATCAAATCCAAAGATGTATATACCTGGTATAGAGATAAGGCATGAAACGATAGCTGTCCATCGTCGACCGATGCGATCACATATTATATAAGCGATGATTTGCCCAACAATACCAGAAATCGGATTCACTACATTTATTATTGACCAAAGAAAATCTATATATAAATCATCCAATGCTTTACCTGTACGAGCCACATATGATTCATTTATAAACTGTAAAATACAATAAAATAAAATAAAATCAATGAAATTTATCTTTTTCGTGCAGTGTATAACCGATTTTTAGAAGGCAGTGCACTGCTAGGCTCAGGGGGAAGAAACTCAACGTCTAAATGTGCGAAACATAATAACCAAATGGCTTTTGCTCAGATTTTTAGCACCTTGAGCGCAGAAATCAGATCAAATTTTACGCAAGAATAAATCTATCATTGAAAATCCGAATGGTATTCTGACTCAGCCAATTTATAGCCCATTTTTAACGAAATTAAATTTTTCAAAATCTAAAATTTAAATTTTTAAAAACAAACTCTTAATAAAATGCTTAAAATTAATAAATTTTTTTAGAATTTCAGGCTTCAACTTCAGGCTTCAGGCCCAAATTTTTCCATTGTCTAAAAATATGTACTGCAAATAAGAAAGCTAGTTAAGTTTCAAAAATTTCGTAAAAGTGAATTCATTCAAACAACATGGTATGAATGAAAATTATTTCTCATATTTTTATATTTTTTATGTCTAAAAAATGATTTTTTAAAAATAATAATGAAGCAAGGCCTAGTCTATTTCAAATATGTAGTTAAATTCAATATATTTGTAATTATACAGAAATTTACTCGCTGAGCGATAAGATATGGTTGATTCAAAATTGATAAGAGATAGGCCTGTTGAAAATTTCCATTAAAACAAGCACCAAAAGAAAGTAAAGCGAGATATGGTGATAGACCCATTCCTTGGTAACGACAAAAACTGGATATTCTTCCTGAGAAATGTTTAATTTTTAAGAAAAGACATTCAAATAAAAACATAAAATTTTTAAATTTTACAACAACCAAACTTATTGACTAATTTTAGTTCACAATAACGCAATAAAAATAATATTTTCAATAAAATTAAATTGAAAAAAACAATGCCTTTATTTTAGAATGAAACTCCTCAAAATTTTACAATTTTATTGATGCAAAATTGGTAATTGGTAAATATAAAAGCATTTGAAATTATACATTTTTGTGGGAAAAGGTTATATTTTGTAGTTATTCTGCCAGGAAGCAGTGATTTAACATTAGTTTCAGAAGAATACTTTACAGAATATGTGCCTTTCATTTAATGATGAAGCAAATGAAAATCATCATTCGCGTGTCACCACTGTTTTAATCTATTTGTTGTCTTGTTTGTTCTATGAGAATTATGGAAACTATAGAAATTATAAAATAATTTATCAACAACTAAAACCGATGCTAATAAACAGTAAAAAAAGGAAAGTCTACATTTCTACATTTCATGCTGATTCGAAGTACTAAAAGTATTAGATTAGATAAAAAAGAATAAAAATAATGGAAAGTAACGAAGAAGATATAACGAAAAAAACCTTAATTAATTGTAAAATTATATATAATTTTGCATTATTATATATGTAAATTAATTGAATTAATTGCAAAGTAAATAAATTAGTCTTCTATTATAAATTTAAATAATATAACAAATTAATTAAAAGGCATAGGTGATGGTAGCGATTTTCATGTACTTCTATCGCCAAGAGACTTCCTGGCAAAAATTTGTCTAGCCCGACAAACCAATGGATCCAGATATGGTAGGCGTTCTTAAAAAAATTGTATTCATATGATTCCGCGGGCCCTGCTCTTTTGTCAAATGGCTATCTTGCAAAACGGTCTCATCCTAGTCAATCAAGAAATGCTTTAAGAAGAAAGGGAAATACATACTTCAATAATATGCTCAGTTTTTAACACATCATTATATATCATATCAAATGCAAGCTGATCAATCATTCATCTCTTTTCTTTTTATTTTGCCAAATTATATCGTTCGAATTCAGATTGAAGCCTACTTTAATTGAAACATTCCATCAAGCATTCCACTTTTTACGATGAAATTTAATGATAAACCGTAGTAAATTATTCTAATTTTCAGTGGTTAAGTATTTCACTAGTTTATTCGCTGGAAATGGCTCGCATCGGAAGTACTTTGCAAGGAACAAACTTGCTATTAAAAAAATCCTGAGTTGCTCGTAATCCACCTGTACTACCTTAATTGATTTCCTGCGAAAATTACCTATCGTACTATTTTATGAAAACGAGCGAAAGAACCAGATAGAATCACTTATTTTCTTTTCACTTGTAATCTTGTCACTTTTCTTAATTGTTATTCCCTTTAATATTAGTAATTACTTAATCAAAATTTCATCCTAATCACTGCATATTATCAATTATATTATCGAAAGAATTTATGCTAGCTATTAGTTTGAACGCATATTTAAAATAAGCACTTTGTTGTACTGTGCGAGTTCTTCTGATCGATTCTATCCAAAAAAACACTGATGATACGATCGGTGCTGTATTTTTTGAAGGCTATTGGAACTACATGAATAAATGTGAATTTTGCGCTGAAGGTGAATATTTTGGAACATTCCTAGGAAAGAAATAAAAAAGGAAACTTGCAACTGGAAAAATAAAAAACAAACAGACCGGTTAACAAGACAGTCTCTTTTGTTTAAAACCCATAAATCATTTAAATCATGCAAACGTTTTTTGCTTGAATTTCTTCCGCAATGAATGGTAATTTAATATTTTTTTCTGATTTTAACTTATTTGCACACAATTTTATAAAAATAAGAATAACAATGAAGGAAAAACCATAAAACTATAATCAGCTGTATTTCGAATTTGCTGCAAATTATTTGTATAAGATGCATGGAAAATGAAAAGAAATTTGCCTGGAAAATAAGAGCAAATTAATGGAATTAGCTCAAGGACGTTTCCCAATTACAACATGGAAGAGCAAAAGCCAGAAAAATTCTGAAAAATTAAGCATTTTCACTGCATCGCTGTTTATCTTCAATTTTCAAAATCCGAATATTTCATCAATTTTCGGTAACCGAATTATTCAAACAAATAAATAAAAAAATAACAAGAAAAAATATATTCAAAGCACCAAAGGCTTGGGTAAGTAGCAATATTTTCTAGGCAAATTTCTTAAATATCCTTTCATTTTCCATGCATATCATATAAATAGTAACTGTGATAAGATTCTAAAGATTTAGCTTTTGTTAAAGAATTAATAAGCGCAATAATTGCTGAATTTCTTATTTGATCCAGAAATTAAGAAGAAATCTCAAACGAAGCGAAGTGTTCTATAAGAAAAATTCACTGTTCTATAACAAAAATTCAGTAGGCATACATTCAAATCGCATCTATTTTTCAGCGATTCTTACACTTCTTATAATGATTTTTTTATGAATTTTAGCAAATTTTTATACGAAAAATTTTGTCCTAAATATTCCGGTTTGTTTCTGAAAAATTGCAGCATTAGTAGTTAGTAGCAAAAAAGTATTTAAGTGCTCACCATTTCCGATTAGCCTCCGTTGCACTGGCCGAATGATTGGAAATTTTTGCCGAATCACTTAGCGATAGAAATATAGATGGTCACTAGCACCACCCAATAGTAGCACTGATATTCTGTGGATTATCTAACTTAATAAATTTTTAAGCAGTAATTATTAAAATGATAGTTTTTAGATATCGTGAAATCGACTATTTTTGAATTCATTAAAAATTGACCAAAAAAAAAATTTAAATTTATGGAACTTTGCTAATATCTGCTACTGGAGTTAAATTGAACAAAAAAATGAAAATTATCACCAATTTAATAAAATAAGTTATATCAATGAAGGTAAATGAACTCGAAGAATTTAAGCGAAGAAATTATACGATTTTCTAATTTAGCTAAAGCAACTCAGAATAACTGTGGTTCGAGCGAAATTGAGACGAGAGAAATTGAGCTACGGTCTCAAAATTCGATAGCAAATATTACAAATATATCGATGTGATTTGCTGTTGTTACAATGAAAACTTAATTCATTATCTATAATTATTCAGACTTCAAATCATTTAAATCATTTTAAAACCTCTAAAATAAAGAAAAAGAAAGAAAAATTGCGATTAAATCCAATTCATCTCGATGGCTTTTCAGTTGTCACTCTCCATTTGTTTCGATTAGAGAGGTATAAATTTGCAATAAAAAATGCTGCAAAAAATATTTGTCTAATTGCAAATTAAATACAATTAAATCTCTATTTACCCTTGAGATTCATTTTTAATAATAAAAATTTCTTCTTTTTAGCAAATTCAGCATTTTTTATTATTTTTTTATCATATTTTCTTCAAAAAAAGCTTTATTGCTCTAATAACGAAGGTGATTAAAGCCGTTTTTCTAAGAAGCAAAACTATTCACTATTCACCATTTCACAGAAATACATGTATGATTTTCGTAAATAAAAGTTAAAAAATGACAAAAAATGGAAATATTAGTTATTAACATGGAAAATATTTAATATAGTTTAAGAGCGTTTTTACAAACTGATTTTTCGTCATAAATTATCGATATTTTATCGATGTAAACAAAATTATCAAATTACATCATTTTATAGAAATAAAATGTAAAACGAAGACAATTCTAAAATTGAATAAAAAAAGCAGACGAATAGTAAACAAATATGATTAATAAAAAATAAATTTTTTTAGGCGAAAATAAAATTTCTTATCAGAAAAAGCAAAGATTCTAAGAATTTTTTTTGACAAATATTCAATTTCTTTTATTCGAAAATTTCAACTTTTCTTTTCTTTGTTTGCAAATAAATATTTTTAGGCCGCTTAAATTGTACTAAAATCGCAAAAAAAAAACAACGGCTGAAAAGGATTTTTATTGTATATTACTTTTTTAAATCGCTATTACTGCTATTGTTATTGTTGTTATTTAGTTATTAATTTTGTTACTGCTATTATTGGTATATTTAATCATTTGGAGACGAATCCATAAAATAACTTTTAAATTATTTATATTTTTCCTTTCTACTTTGATTTAAAGTTAAATTTTGCTTTATTTAGCTGTTCAAATATTTAAAGCAAATTTATTTAAAATATTCGTTGAAATTTTTGAGAAAAAAAATTATATCAAAATTATATCAAAAAATCATGGGAAAATTATAAAAATTCCGATATTAGCAAATTCAGCATTTTTTATTATTTTTTTATCATATTTTCTTCAAAAAAAGCTTTATTGCTTTGATAACGAAGGTGATTTAAGCCGTTTTTTTTCGTAAACAATATTTAACAATTATTCTTTACTTATTTCTTATCACGAGTGAACCACAAATAAAAATATGATTTTTAGAATACCTTCATTTGAAAATTATTTTTGACGAAATTCTCCTTAATTTTCAATTTTTATTCTCACCATCCCATCCATATACACAAGCATCTCGGTTTCCTAAGTTAGTATTCACATGAGACTAAAAGTATAGGTGTGCATCCATCACTAGCTGAATGCTTTAATCACGAGTTTATCCTCTTCATGAAATAAGAATAGAATAGAACACATGGTGCCAGAATGGGCATGCTATTCGGCTATAACACCAAACTAAAAGAGATATCTGCTTACTCTGGAGTTCGAAAATTTTTCTTTCAATCCTTCCAGAACATGACGAAAAATCATATTCATATCATATTCTTGCCATTTTTTAGAAAAAAATTTTTAAGTCCCAATTTGATTTGCATTCAAATCGATTTGACCTAAATCCTGAATATTTGCTAAAAGAGTTGGTAACCATTGTAAAAGTGTTGAAATTATGGAATTTCTGAAAATATTATGCAAGTTGGAATAAATCGTTTAGAATTTATAATTATAATATAGCCATTTCTTCAAATAGTTTCAACAC